CCTGCTCTTTTAGACCTTTTCTTCCTGTTACACAATATCAGTTATACATTTTTTAAATTACAATATTAAGATCTAGAAGACATTACCACAGATTTTACAGAACTTAAAGGGATATAGAAAGCATATTACAAAAATCTGTTTTGAAATAAATTTGACAACTTCTAAGAAGTAACTTAGACAAATTAATGAAACTGACTCTAGAGGAAATACAGAAATGAGAAGACACATAAACAAGCCTCAAAAACAGACTTCTGGATCACCTACAGCAACCCCAAAGGGAAAGGAGATGGAACAATCTGATACTTAACCACCTGGACTCTCTGAACTGGCAACAAAAGAGAATCTGGGAAAAATGAAATCAGAAATAACCCTGTTCTTCTTTATGCTTTTTTTTTTTTTTTGGTACCAAGGATCGAACTTGGGACCTTGCGCTTTCAAGGCAGGTGGCAGAACCACTGAGCTAAATCCCCAGCCATGTTTATGCTTCTTGATGTCAGCAAACCATTTTGGCCAATTTGAACCAAACTGGCTTTACTATGTCAGCATGTTGTCATCTTGAAACTCACTGTTTTTCTACCATTTTTTTTTGACCTGTGATTGCATGAGGTCATGACATAATCTGCATTTAAGTTTTATACATTGCCCTGGTTTTCATTATTAACCTAAGCGGACAGTTAATGTTTAGTAAAACGCTATATACTTGGTTTAAATTTATCTTGGGTTTTGCAATTTCCTTCTGAAAATAAAATGCAAGCATTGCATAAGGTGCCTTGTGCCTGACAAACATTAGGTGTTCAGTGTAAGGTACTTCTAGGCGCTCGACATGTGCTGACCTGTTCAGGGTTTACACAGTGCTATGGAGCCTGTAATCATTCTCATGTATGTAACAAGTTAGCTAACTTAGTGTGGATTACCCAGATAGTAAGCAGCAAAATGAGGATTTATCAAGAGTAATTGTGTCACTATGTCATTATATTGGTAACTTGAAGAGTTCCCATGAAGAGTTCATATTAGAGGTAGCAGAGCCATGTCACACATAATTCCAGTGTAACTTGATAGAGAAATGTATAAGAGATTAGCAAAGGTGAAAGTTGTTCCTTGGTTCTTTCTGTCTAATTTTTCTTTTCACTTTAAAGTGAGAGCTACATCAGTAATTGTCAGCTGGACTCGATTATTTTCAGAGGACATAGAAACAGCAACATCAGGAGAAATTTTTGTCACACTTGGCTGAAGAGAGGGATACATCTGGGATCTCATTAGTATAGGCTAGAGTACATGCTGGTAAACATCTTAAAAGATTTATTAGTAGATGTTTGCAATACATAATATGTTCATTATGGGGAATTGGTAATGTATATATCACTTCTTAATCCTGTTCACTTCCCTTACCCCTCTATCCCTAGATCCCCTTATCATCTGCAAAAAAGTCTTATCTGGTAAACATCTTTAAAATGTAGGGAAAACCCTACACAACAGGTAATTTTTGGGCCCTGAATGTCAATAAGGCTGTTGTTGAGAAATCCTGCTTTATATACTTGTTTTGTGTACTGTATATCCAGATAAACACATACATTTAATTCTTTTTAATGGCTTAGTGTAATATATGAATGTGTTTATCACCAGTTGGGTTGCTATAACAGAATATAGACTGGCTTAAACAACAGATGTGGGTTTTTTTTGTTTTGTTTTTTTTTTTTAGACATGTGTTTCTTATTTTGAAGGCCTGAAAGTCCAAGATAAGCCCCAGATCTGCCGGAAGCCAGCAGATCCAGTGTATGGTAAGGGCAGTCTTGGAACGCAGATAGCATTTCCTTATATCTTTGTATAGGGGAGTGGGAGGAAAAGGGGAAGGAAGGGAGCACAATCTTTCCTCTCGCTTAAAAGGACACCAATGCCATCATAAGGATTTCACCCTTATGGCTCAGTCATCTGAAAGGCTTCATCGCCAAATACCATCTCATTGGGGGTTAGGGTTTGGCGATAGAAAAACATAGTTCATGGCAGTGTCTAAGCCTTTTAAAAAAGAACATCCCCCCCTCCAGTATTGTTTCAGTGGGTGCGTGCACATGTGCACAGAATTAGGGTAACATGAGCTACCCAGGGCTGAAAAATTTGATACTGCAAAATTGTTCTTCCCCTAGGAGAGTTGAGAAGTGTTGTTTCACTGGGTCTTAGAAGTATAATTGGTGTTCTGCTGGACAGGCAAAGGAGAAAGGCGTCCCAAACAGAAGGTGACAAGTGCACAGGCAGAGGCTCGAGGCTCATGGTTGTCCCACTGTGCAGTCTCAGCTGAACTGGGGAGTGGTAAAGACAAAGCAGACTACTAATAAAACACACAGTTTGAAAATAGGTGAGGAAATTTTATTTCATTTAAAAAATATTCTCATATGCTAGTTATAGTTTTTACATGATATAAAAAGCACTGTGAACCAATTACCTGTTGCGTATGAGGGAAGCAACATAGATCCAGACGGACAAAACATTTTTAGGGTATGGGTGGATATACACAGCTAGAGCAAATTCGACGTTAGGAACATCAATATTATGCACTCCAGTGCTGTACACGGCTTCAATTAAAGGCTTCACTTCAGAATAGGGCATGTGAAGGGGAAATCCAGAGAACTAAAAAAATACATGAATAGTCATTAGTGAAGTTTGAAGATTGCAATATTTCTCTACATAAATGTAATTCTTAATACAGTTAAATCTTCTAGATCACAAGATCATCCGGTTCTGTGTTTCTGGTCAGTTCTATGTTAACAATACAGACAGTGGCGAGAGGATTATGAGTGTGTAAGGGGCCTGTCGTCACCCATTCTCCATCAGTCCCTTTGCTCTTCCTGCCGGTGCCTAGTGTGCATGACACATGTAATCATTCAGACCTAGGTTAAGCTGATGTTTGCATTTCACCTCTGGCCACAGAAATTAATCTACAGGATGGGCATGTGATCAACCTGAGACTCAGGAAACAATGCTGTCACCTACTTGGGGCAGTGTGTGTGCGGGCGTGTGTCCCGGGCCTGCTTTAGCATTTTCTTCCAGGAGCAGAGCAGCCTGAGAGTGGTGTTAGCACAGGCGGAGAGCAGGGAAGAGCTGCAGGGAAGGGGCTGGTCTGATAGCTGCTCACCTCTAGAGTCACTGAAGTAAACCAGTGCATTTGCTAGTGCTCAAGCCTCTACGTGTTCTTGTTACTTGAACTGAAAACATCCTCAGTGACTAATCCACCTTGGCTGTCACCTGTGTTTGCCATCACTTTATTGTCTCAGTTATGACATTGCTTTATAGGTTTTCTTACCAGCTACAGGATAAGAACACAGCACTACCAAGAGGTGGTAGAGAGGATATATTGTTCATTAATGAGAATTTTTCCTAGCACTGAAAAGCACGGTGCAAAACCATGTCCTTTAAAACACCTAACCTAGAGTCTTCACTGTCTTGTGCAGTTGTCTGATATAATTTAGCCAGATGTTTTCATTTTATTTACTAGCTATGTATTTCATAAAAGTATAGTATCTTAGGATTATATTACAAAAATGGTAATATTGTCACATTACAGACATTTTGTCATTTAGTATGGGTTACAGAACTTTTACTAATACTCTTTAGTCTATGCTGCTGTTTTTATATACTTGGAGGAGCAGCGTGGGTATTTGGTTGCAAGAGCCCATTATTGGGTAATTTCTCGTTTGTAAGGAAGAAACCCAGCAGGCCGGCCTGTGAGTCACTGTGCTTACCCTGTAGTCTCCGAGCTGTTTCAGCAGTTCTGCTCTGTGGTCATCGTCCACGCCTTCTCCTTGGCTTCTTTCCAGCAGAGGCAAGAAGTGGCGCAGAGTCGAGATACAGTGCCTGTTCCACCGGGTCAGATGGCGCGGTCTCCAGTCCATGATTTTTTCTTTTAGCATTTTTTCAATCCTGTTCATAAACAATAAACTGCAATATTTGGTGACTTGACTTTTCCCTTGTTAAAAAAAAATGTTTCTGGGCCAGGGATTTAGCTCAGTGGCATCGTGCCTGCCTCACAAGCGCAAGGTCCTGAGTTCAATCCCCGGTACCAAAAAAAGTTTCTGTTGGTATTGTTATTTACCAGGCAGTTAGTAATAAATATGGGCCAATCCCTGGGGATTCTGAAGTCAACACAAGTGATTCTTTAACAGTTGTTTATGGGGGTGGGATGTGAAGCAGATGTATAATTTCTAAGTATATAGTACCTAAGGGCCTAAGAGATGTTGGAAAATAGCACAGAAGAGGCACACTGAATGACGGGCTGGCTAACGTCAACACAGGTGGCAAGACATTTTTTATTACCACAAAAGAATTTATCATGTATTCATTTGGTGACATACTGATTGACGAATCTGACCCAGACATAAGGAGTAGGACTTGTGTTGAAATCCTCAAATATGTATAAGGCTCTCAGGGCTTATATTGATTTTTCCCCAGTCACCTTTATTCATAATAGTATAATTTTTTTTCTAAATTGCCTTACACTACCTTTAAAATGCCATCATTGCATCTTAATGTTTTAATATAAGTATGACTTCATAGAAAGTGAAGCTTAAACATAGAATGATGGAATATAGCTACCATTTACTGAGCTATTTACTGGGAACTGTGTTTTTTATACACTTTCTTTGAATCTCTACAATAACCCACAAGGTAGAAGATACAGTCTTGATTTTACAGATGAGAAGACAGTTTGATATAATTTGATTTGACTAAAGAAGGGAGATGACATGCAGACTGAAACACTGCTGATTCTAAAGCTTCTTGTCCATCCTCTAACCAAATGCAGAGATTTAGAGTTGTGGCCAGCTTACTCAGTAGCCATAGGATCCCCCCCCCCTTTTTTTTTTTTGCTAAGAAACATGTATCTTTTGGTTTCAAGATGGCCTGAACAAGAAACTATGGGTGAATTGTCACACACTAATACTGAAGAAATAAATGACTCGAGTCTAATTGATAGCATGTCTAAGATCTTAGAAGAAACAGAATAAGTTCCACATGAGGATCCCAAATAAAGCTTTATGGAGAAATTAAGAGTAAATTGGTGTTTTCTAATAATAATGTCTAAAAGGGGGGTCCTATATGACCTTGTGTAATTTGACATAGTTGTCTTCACATAGCTTGATCCAGTGGAAATGGCAAATAGGTTTGGAAAGCAGAAAGATGTGGCTAGGCTCACACACCCCCTTTAACGTTTAACAGTACGTGGACCACTTTGAACCTCATTTGCCACATTTGTGAAACTGAGAGAGAAAGTGATTTTAGTATGAGTGGAATTAGAGGGACTCAGCCTTTTACCAGCCTTCTCCTTTGGTTAGGTTCATAAACTAGCTGAAGTTTTACAGGCCACTAATAGACAAAAGAAGCATATTTAAGTTGAGGATTATGATGTGCTTCAACAAGATCTACAATAACACGATGTTAAGCTCTAATCTGAGGTAAAATCTTTGGAGAACTGCGTGTTTTTATTAGAGTTCAGCTCTGTCTTACACTGTACTGATGCTAATGCACTGTTTTGAGCCTTGAGATTTAGAGATCGCATCTGTACTCAATACCTGTAATCATGGATTTAATTGCCCCAGTTTCATACAGATCCAGGCCGACAGCTGTGTGAAGTTCGGTATTATGCTTCTGTGACAGATTACATGTGGCTTTACGGGTATGATGTTACCTGTCTTGTAGCTCCGCTGCAGCCGTTTTATCTGTGTGTTGATAAATTAGCTCTTCAGGCTGTAAAAGAGATCATATTTTGGAAATGCTAGAAATCACTTAATTTGAATAGACAGACCTTTTTTTTTTTGGTACCGGGGCTCCAACTCAGGACCTTGCGCTTGAGAGGCAGGCGGCGGAACCACTGAGCTAAATCCCTGGCCTTTGAATGGATATACTTTAATATTTTTAATTATGAAATTTCAGATACTCAGTAAGATACGGAGGATAGCATAAGGGTGCACCCATGACCCACTATAAATAAAGCACCACAGATAAGTTGCAGAGCTTTGTAGTTCTTTCTCAGTTTCATTTCCCTTTTCCCATCACAGAAGTAACCATGACCTGAGTTTGTTTTTAACATTCCTTCACTCAACATTTAAATGAGTATTGTTGCCAGGCACCTTCACAGGTAATGGTAATAGGGATATTACCGTGAATAATCCCAGCCTGCATGGTGCTTACACTGTAGTAAATGAAGACAGACAAATTAATCTGTGTTTGAGATTGTACTGCAGATATGCAGTCCTAACCAGCATATTGTTTTGCATGTTTTCTGAACTTTATGAACGTGCAACTTGATTTTTCTCTAAACATTATACAAGGGATAACAGCAAATATAGTTTTAGAGTGCTTACTAAGATTCATTAATGTTCATTTAATCGCTATAAAATATCCCACTATATACTATAATTGATCTGTCATTCTAAGTCTTATGCTATTTCAAACCATGTTCCAATGAAAAATCTTGTATATGTCATCTCACATACACAGGCGAATTGTATATGGAGAATTTCTCCACGGCAATGTTTTTTGAAAGCTTTTTGAATGGCTATGCCACAGTAAAACAAACAAACAAACAAAATTATATTAAGAACCCAGTAAGACATACTTGTAGCTATCAAATGAAACAAAAACTTTTAGCAACCAATGTCATTGCTTTCTACTTACAGCAAGCCACTGCTCAAGACTCTGTTAATTTAATGAGCCTTAGTGGATTGGAAATACAGTTTCATTCAAGTTTTACTAGTAGTTTTGAAATCAATTTAGTGGGTGAGACCAAAATTTAATTACATAGAATATATTTTCTGGCACTTTGTATGTCATAAGACTTTTTATATCAAAACTTTCTTTCACATATATCTCAAATATTCATAACTAGTACTTGTACATAGGTAAACGTGTTTGTGAGCTTGGCTTAAATAAGTTTGAAAAACATACTGTTCTAAATTAGGCAGCTAGGAGTAGAATTAAAGGCCAAGAGATATCTAGTTACTTCTATGATGATTTCCTATCCTTTACTTTCCTTGTATTGTTAATAAAGAAATCATACCTGAACACTGGAAAGGCCAGGATATGGAAGGCTTCTTGAAAAAAAAGGTTTCCATAACTTGGGCTTGGTGACATCAAAATTTATCCTTAGTGGAGAATCATACTGTTGAATATTAAACCAAATCTAAAAAGGACAAAACTACATTAGCATATATGCTGGCAGATACATATGCACGTGTGTGTATGACCAAAATAGGCTGCACACTCTCTTCAATCATTTTTTGATTTGTAAAATTTCCGTTTTGCAATTAGTGGCATCATACAGTTGATAGTGGTCATTTTTTCCCACATTTTTGGTATTTGAAGTTAGGGTGTACATTATTGTTGACTGTAGGTTTGGTGAAGTAGGGTAAATCCTGACTATGACACTTAATATTTTTAGGAGTCAAGGCCCCTCCTTTCTTAGCCTAGCTTTCCTGATCCTGTCCTTCTCAGCCTCCTAATTGACTCCTTTGTCCACCTCTTTGTTTCCACAGCACTGCAGTGTCTTGGTGAGGCACTATAGTGTATTGGTCCTGGAATCAGACCACTGGCATTTGAATTTTGGCCCCAGCATTTATGTAGCTTTTGTATGTCTCAATTTCCTCCTCTATGAAACTGGGATTAAAATAATAACTACCTCATAAGGCTGGGCAATAGCTGGGACATAGTAAGTGATCAATAATTGTTACCTGTTATTATCACTATTATTAATTATTGTCTATAACTTCCTGTCCATCCTCATTAGATTACTAAATTATGGCTCAAGGACATTCACCATATCCCTAATTCACTATTAGATCTTTACCATCTAGTATTAACTCCTGCCGTATAACAGTCACATTGAGTGTGTGGATTTGTCCATGCAACACTGAATCACATGTCCACTCAACATATTTAAGTACCTACTCATTCTAATCACTGGGGATAAAGTAGTGAATGAAACAATCCTACCCTCATGGAATATCTAATGAGGTATATAGCAAAAACTAAAGGTAAATACATGAGCTATCAAGTGATACTGAGTCATGTGGTAGAATGTATCATTGGCCCCAATTCCTAACTCCTTCCTATAAGCATACCCTTTCTCATGTTAGTTTTCAGTTCCTTCCACTAGAAGGGATGATACACTTCCCCGCCCCCTGACTGTTGGCCAGTAGACAGGGATAGAAGTGTTAGTGTGTGACTTACGAATCTAAACTGAGAGTCTTTGTGTGTTTCCACCTGCACTTTTGTGCCTCTTCCATTGCCACTGGCCAAAGTCCCAGGATGAACACCTGAAGCAGAGCTGTCCCATCCCATCCAGCCCGCAGGCCTGCAGTGAGCAAGCAGCAGAGCTGTCCACCCTTGATGAGCAGAGCCGTCCCAGCAGACCCGCTGATCGGCTCACGAGAATACATGTTTGAGGCTGTGTAGTTTGGGGATGGGTTTTTATTATCTTCACAGTGCCAACAGCTAACTGCATAAGGGCGATGGAGAGAGCTGACCTGTAGGAGCAGATGGAATTTTAACATAGGGAATCTCTCCCTATGGAAGTTACATATGACTAGAAATGCAAGAAGTGCCAGAGAAATTTATGAAAATGCCTGCTAAAGGGAGCCTGGTCCTTTATGTAGAGGAAGCAACAGGTGCAAGGATGGACAGCAAGGAAGTGGCCTCAGAGGAGAGAACAAGTAAGCAACGACAGTAGCAGAGAATGGGGCAGGGACAGGGTGGGTGTTGGATCATAGGGACCACGAGGGCCATTTGGAAGATTTAGGCATTGACCCTTGAGCGTGCAAGGAAGCCAATGGGGTACTTGGAGTGGAGGAGTGATATAATTGGCCTTCCATTTTAACAAGAATTCTTTGCTGTTTTGAGACTGGACAGAAAAGGATAGGGTGGGCGGTGAAGTCTCCAGTTAAGAAGATTTTTTTTCTCCGAGTAACCCAGGTGAGAGAGCCTCAGTGACACGGATGAAAATGGAAGCAGTGAAGGTGAACTGTGGCTGGAGTCTGTGTATACTGTGAGAGAACCAATGGGATCTATGATGGAGATGGATTGGATGGTAGGAGAGAGAGGAACAAAGGAATCAAAGATGACTCCAAGAGTTTTGGCCTAAATAAATGAACTGATGGAACTGTCACTTACTGAGATGGGAAACATGCAAAAATAAATCAGATTCCAGTTTGGATGTGTTAATTTTGGGATGTTTATGTGACATCCAAATGAGGATTTGAGCAGGTGAGTGGATATTTGAGGCTGAAATTCTGGGGAGCTAGATGAGCTGGAGATACAAGTTTCGGAGTCACTGGAATATATATAGCATTTCTAGGGAGGGAATATAGATAGAAAAGAGGTTTGATAAACTTTAAGAATCTTTAATGTTTCAAATTTGGAGAAACAAGGAAAAAGCAGTAAAAGATAGAGAAGTGATGGCCAGTGAGGTTGATTACTTGGAATCCTAATCAAGGGATTGTCTGAAGAAGGCAACATCTTTAAGGACTACTGTTTGGCTCTTGGGTAGGGAATGTGCAGAAAAGTCATAAGGAATAGCACTCGTGGGATAGAGGTGGCTGGGGCAGATTAGATGGGGTTTGGAAATCTAAGGTGAGAAGGTTATCCTTACATGTGTAGGTAGTGAAGTACCTATCATAACTCTGAGCCATAAAACGATGAAAACTAAACATTAAGAAGCTTAACTGGCACCAGTATATCAAATTTTGTGAACTGAATTGGAGACTTTTAGTTGGATATTTACAGTAATGTAGGGTGAAACAGTAATACCATGACCTAAAGGAACTGAAGTGGCAGGGTTTATATAATTTGGTATCTGTAAATAGGATTAAAGGAGGAAGCAACAGGAAGAGGTAAAATCTAGGACAATTCTGGAGTTTGGATTTGGTTAACTGATATCCATAGCAACAGGAAGACAGAAAGACAACCTGGTTTTGGAAGCAAAAGAGAAATGTCTTGAAGTTTAGATGAACTGACTTTGAGATTTTGATTAAGCACCAGGGTATTGAGCAAACAATTTGTAATTCAGGACTCAAAAGTTTCTGGGGCTCAGCCAAGGGTGGGAGGCTGAAGCAGGACAATCACTGCAAGCTGAAGGCCAGCCTGGGCTACATAGACCCTGTCTCCAGAAAGAAAAAGAAAAAAAACCAAACAGTTTCTGGGGCTCTTGACAGAATCATGACTTCTATGCCAGGATTAAGTCATATTACTAATAGGTATGATCCTGGGAGGAATCTAAATACAGAAATTTTAGGAACATCTACTTTTAAGATGTGGGAAGAAAAAACAGTGGAAGAAACAAGCTATTGCAGAAAAAATTAAAACCAAACTGTTTTATCAGTAAACCAAGGAGAGGAAAAGTGTTTTCATGAAGTAGTTAGCCATGTTATATTTCATAGAAAAGAGAGAAGAACGAGGAATGAGAATTGTTACAATCACTTATTCATTAACAAGACAGTGGTACTTGTGTTTAATTTGTGTGGTTTGATTAGAGAAAAGCTAGACTATAGTGGGCAAAGCTCTGACTGTGTTGACAAAGTGGTAGCGGACAGTATAAGTAGTGTTTGAAGAATTCTGGAAGGAAAAAAAGGGCAGATGTTATGGTTTAGATCTCAAATGTCCCCCATAAATCCAGTACTCAGAAGTTGGGCCTTGAGAGAAGGAAAGGGTCACTGGGGGCCTGACCTGGAAAGGTGTAGTCTTGTCCTGGCTCCTGCCTTTACTCTTCACTCTTGGCTTCCAGGCTGGCCATAGACTGAACAGCTTTCCTCTGCCTTGCCTTTCTACCATGATGGTCCTGCCTCGGAGTCAGACTACAGTGGACTGAATTTCCCCAAACCATGAGCCAAATTAAACTCCTTTATGGTGTTGGGTATTATATCTTAATAATGAGAAGGCTGATTCAAACAGCAGTGGTGGGAGTTCAAGGTATATCCAAGTGGGAAGAAGCAGAGTTTAGAATTTTTAGATTCTTGAGCATATAAATAAGTAGAGAAGGGGAAAATAGAGGGGTTGGTTTAGTTAGTGGATCAAGGTCTTGGAGAGGTTTAGTTGATGGATCCAGGTCTCAGAGTAGGAGTGGAAATGAAGGGAAGGAAAGAAGCTTATTTCTTGGAAAAGAAGTACAGAAGGAGAAAGACTGATATCTGAAGAGGTGATGTGCTGAGTTGAGGGCAGCTGAGGTTTGGAAGTGCCAGGCCATGCTTGCTTCACCAGCACGTATACTAAAGTTGGAAGTGGCGCGCTAACACAGGATGGAGGCCTCCACCGAGAGCGGTCAAGGCTTGGAGTAGGATGAGCTCAGCTGCCCCAGCAATGCCTGGCCTTGCCAGCCACTGTTATTGTCTGTACAAGTGGAGAAGAGAAGGATCTTCCTCACAAAACACTGATTTTATGAGAACTAGTCAGCCATACAATGATTGTTTCGAGAGCCAACAATAATTTTGCCAGAAAGTGGAGTTCTAAACTATTTTCCAATGTCCGTTAATCCTGGTTGATTACTAATGACCTTGAAGTGATCCTCTAAATGCAAATGGAGCGTCCCAAACCATGTGTGATTATGATAATGACTTTAATTAAAAATAATAATTAACATGAGAATAGAGCTCCACAGTACTTTTTTCATATTTGTAATTAATGATAGTTGCTGTTTGCTGAGCACCCATGAAATACAGGTACTTTGCTGGGTACTGGCATATATTAACTCTAATTTTAGCAGCAAAGGGTAGGGTACATACCTCAGCGATACAGGAATAAGCTATTAGGTTTTCTAATTGTTCATGTTTATTTTAAGTGTTTTTTATATGATATAAAAGTGATGTATATATAAGTATATACTATTTATAAATAAAATATGTATATTGTATAAAGTTTGTCATGACTTATATCTAATGTCCCCCGAAGGCTCATGCATTCATAGGTGCTGCTTCTGGGAGATGGCTGGTGCATGGGTGTGTGATACTGGATTACGGGTGTGGTAACTGGGTCATTCTGCTGATTGGTGTAGCATAACTGTGGGTGCTAGAATTACTGAAGAGGGAAGCCTCAAACTGGCAAACGCTTGTAACCTGGATGTGTAAAGAGAAAGAAAGAAGGCAAATTTGCTGTTTCCTGCCTTCTGCTTCCCACCTGCCCTGCCATGGACTGTCTCTGTGCCAGGCCCCTCTGCCATGCTTCCCTGCCTTGGAGCCAGGTGACTATGGACTGAAACCCCTACCAACTGTGAGCTGAAATAAACCTTTCCCCCTTTAACTTGTAGGTATTGAGTATTTTGTCCCTGCAACAAGAAAGTGACTAAGACAACCAAAAATTTCACTTAGGACTATTCAGGTGACTAATTCTGCCACCATCTTGGCTACATTTTAAAAACTAGTGTATGTATGTGTACGTGTTTATTACATTTATATAAATTTTTCTGATGCATAACTATTTAAATGGCCAATTAAGAAACAGAAAGCAACCATGTTTAAGAGAAAATGATAATACTCACATTATCAGGACCAATTAAACAACCCACACTTTTCAAGGGGCAGAATGTATCAAACTGTCCATAAAAATGTCCACTGCAGGGATTCCATATTAAATAATGATTTTGTTCCCAAGTTAGCACATAGGCAGTTGGACCCTGAAGGGAAATAGATGTTAAAAATAGTTTTGAATGAACTATGCAATTAAGGTCAAAATAGTTTGCACAAACATTTTGTTACTTTAGTTGGACCCTAAAATTCCATGGTAAATGGTGAAAACTAGTTTGTAGTTCTGAATTTTAAAAATAATATTTTTGGGCAAAATTCTCAGATCTTATACTAGTACTGTCCAAGTAAAGATAACGGTCATTTTACTCAACCAGAATATCTCCAGATTGGCTGCAGAACCATTTCTAATGAAGTAAGAAGTCATTGGCATTTTCTTGTTAGAGTTAATAAAATTGCCCTTGGGTATCTAGAAGGCTGATTATTTTGAAATACTATGTCTAAGAAAGTAACTTCCATTTGATACTCATTTATAATTATGCAAATACATAGAAGATTTGAAAGATGCTTGGGAATGGACAGGAGAGGCTTACACAAAAGGAGAGCTAACTGGGGCTTTGGGTGATGAAGGCTCCAGTTTTGCTAAAAAACAGTTTGAAACGCTGTTGAGGGACCTGCGTACCACATCAAGTCATTTCACGTCTCATTGGTGGTTCTGTCTACCTTTAGGGCATTTCTGGGCCACTTTCCTAGTAACTCAGAGTTGTTATGAAAACAAGTCCCATCCATGGACCCAGCTGGACAACTGCACTCCTCTGCGAGAGCCAGGCTTCGGGGCCGTACCTCAGGAATAGCATTGCCCATCACCACCCAGGCCTTCTTTCCCAGGAACAGAAAGAAATTACACAGCAGCACCGCGTGCTCCTCTTCATCGCCTGCCAGGAGATCAAGAAATTGCTGACAAGAAGAAAAGAAGAATATGTAGTGTTGACTGGCTGCTTTACCTGGATCGCCACACAGAGTTTTAGCAAGGCATAGTTGAGATTAATATCTTAAAGTATAAAACCTAGTTTTCAAGTCCTTTCCCAAATTTATTACTATATTGATGATTTTTGAGTTTTTTCTGTTTGACAGGATCTTGGTATATAGTTCAGGCCAGGCTTGAACCCACTGTGTAGCCCTGGCTGGCCTCAAACTCATGGTGATCCTCTTGCCTCAGCCTCCTGAGTGCTGGGCAGACAGGCATACACTACCATGCCCACCATGCCAGTTAACAGTCTTTAACAACACTTGTAGTGGACATAGTGTCTTCTCTAATATCGGTGACAATGTACATTTCTAGAATCAACACTATGATTGAGGTGTGGGCAACAATTTTAAAGAGTTTTAGTTTTCATTTTGAATGTGTATATGACTGCCCACTCCTTGGTAAATAGTCTGTAAAGCACATTACATGCATTAATGCATTTAATCCTACAGCAACCTTTTGAGTACTCTTATTCTCTAGTTTTGCAGATGAGAAAGTGAAGGCATAAATCAAAGTAACGCCTAGACAATGTTAAGCCAGTCTGGCTCTACAAGTACAAGAACCATTCCATGCTTCGTCTATCTTATGGATCCCTACAGGTTGTAGAAAATTCCTTTCTAAAACTGTCAACATTTATGTTGCCAAAATATATCAGGGAACAAAAAATGTAAAGCATGCTTAAATTTCTTCAACTTAGGAGTTTCTTTCAAAGAAAGTTGTATAACACTGTGCAATGAAAACACAGTACAGTGGGAGACCCAGAAGCAGAATTAATACCTTTGGTAATATATGCTTGTCTCATATTACCTAAGATCAGTTTGGAAGTTTACGTACCATACAAAATTGTAAATTCAGTAAAAGTGGAGCTATATTTATTTTGCTAAGGCCAGGATCTAATGCTATGCCTGGTATTACAGTAGGTGACCAATAAGTACATAATGAATAAATAATGATTCAGGTCTTAGCCTACAAATTAAGGAATATACAATTGCCAATTACAGTATTGAATGAAATTTTGATTTTTATGAATAAAACTGGGATATTTTTACAGTAACGCTAACAGGATAATTCAGCATCAAGACATCTAAAGTCTTATTTTTTTGTGGTGGCACATGCCTGTAATCCCAACACTTGGGAGGCTGAGGCAGGAGGACTGCCATGAGTTTGAGACCAGCCTAAGCTCCACAGTGTGTTGAAAGCAAGCTTGAACTACATAGCAAGATCTTGTCTCAAAAAAAGTCTTACTTTTTATTCTTTGTGTAATTAATTTATTTTTAACTTATTAACTTTCAGAAAAATGAACCTGGAAAAAAATACTATAGGATATAGCTCATGCTGCTGAACAGATGGCCAAGTAGATTTTTATGATGATCAATGAATGTTGCAATGTAAAATCATGCAAGCCATTTAGCTAATATTCAGTAAAGTCAGAGCAAGTTAGCCAATCTTCGAGGAAGAAGGACTCACATCAGATGTGCTCCAGAGATCACAGATGCCAGCAAAGGAAACCGTGTCAGGCAAGAAAGGAATCAAGGAAACATATCGAGCTACCAGTTCCTGTGTGAACAAAATGGGCATGAAAAAATAATTTCCAGCAAAATAGCAATCCCAACCTTCTGTTTTGTATTAATATTATTTTACTTAACACTCACTAAACATCTTGTAGATTACTTCTACTATTTATGTATTATATATGTTATAAATATCTTCTGATTTGTGGCTTAAATTTTCATTTTCTTCGCAGCTTTTTTTTTTTTTTGGTATCGGGGATCGAACTTGGGTCCTTGCACTTTCGAGGCAGGCGGCAGAACCACTAAGCTAAATCCCCAGCCCTTTTGCAGTTATTTTTGAGAAACTCAAATTCTCAATTTAATTTGGTCAAATTATTATTTTTCTTTATAACAAAGTTTGTGCTTTTTTCTTAGTTAAGAAGTCTTATCTGTCTCAGACCATAAAAATCACAATGCCTTTCACACTTAAGCCCTTAATCTGTATGCAACCGAGTGTTGTGAAGTAGGAGTCTATTTTTATTTTTTCCTTATGAAAATCAATGATCCCGATACAGTTTATTTAACAATCAATCTTTACTGATCTCCAATCTTTGCCACATATAAGTTTTCTGTATTTGAATGAGTCCGTGCTGGGTTTTATGTTCTCCTCTATCTTCTGCTCACTCTGTCAGTTCCACATTGCCTTAATCACGAAGGTCTTATAATTTCCTGGACAGATGCTATGGCAAGTGTTCCCACTGGGTCCCACTGGTCCCTACTCTTCAGAATTGTTTTGACTATATTTGGCCCTTCTCAATCTTATATAAATATTAGAATCAGCTTGCGAAGTTCTACTAAAAAGTCTTTAAACTCTGACAATCTGTGTCTTTTCCCTGGAAAGCTTAGTCCCTTTCTTTTGATTGATTATTGGTAAATATTTAATTATTTCTACCATCTTATTCTGTAATTTTACTTTTCATGTTTTTAAAATTCTTTTCCTCCTCTCATGCCAGTTCATTATTTTTCTTCTCCTAGTTTAGGAGTTATATTTATTATTTTCATTCTCATCCCCGGCCCATCTGTTATTTGTTTTCTGAGGCAGGGTCTCACTTTGTGGTTCATGCTGGCCTGGAATTCATGTATCCCAGTCTAACCTGGAAGCCCTGGCGACCTTCCTGTCTCGGCTTCCGGAATGCGGGGAGTACAGGCCTGTGCTCTATGCCGGGCTGGACTCTGTGATTCTATCTACAGTCTGTGGCCAGGACCTCCCATCTGTTGTTCCCTTCAGCTCTTACTTTTTGTGTGGTGACTTATTTCTACCCTGATGTTCTTTTGCTGTGTGGGCATGCCACTTGGCACTTTCTGTGTTTTGTGGCCGAGATTAAATGACTTTCTTCTAGAAGGATTTAGGTCTGCTTTTGACAGTGTCATATACCAAAAGGGAATACTTTCAACTAGAGTTTTGGTTGAAGTGTTTTGAGTCATACAGGGAATGTAAATTCCAGTCCCACATGTGAATAAAAACAAGTTAGTCATTAGGAATTCTCAGGGAAGACTTTTTTCTCTCTTCCATCCAGAGTCAGACCGAGACAGCTAGGATTCCTTCTACAGAGCAAAGGAATTCCTCATCTACTCACTGATGACGTCACCCTTCCAGAGCCCCTCTGTGCCCAGCCTGCCCCAGCCGGCACCCTGCCCCTCTGCCCTGAACTCAGCCCTGTCAGCAGGATCATCAGCCGGCCTGAGGGCAAACAGTGTGGCCTCCCCATCCTTGCCGAATCTTGCTTTTTTGCTTCTTTTTTGTTTCTTTTTCCCCTTCACTTTACTTCTGTTTTAGCCATGATTTTAAAAATATTTTATTACTTTTAAGTGCTCTCTCTACTGGACAAAGTTTTCTGTACATCTATAATGTAGGGAGCATAGACACCTTTATGGCTTTCTATAAAAAGCAGTTTAAAGAACTAAAATATAGAACACAGGGGTTTTAAAAATATTATCATCCTATTTCTCAGTCACTACATTAATGACATTAGCGGTAAGAGCCCCTCTAAAACACTTACGGGTTAAAAATAGCGACCCTAACATGGCTTCTGGTTCTGAAGGCAGTGAATGGTATGAGTTTATTTAATGGTCCAGTAGGGATGTACACTGGGGTGATGGTCTCAATGCTGAAAATACTAATACTAATTGTTAAAATAAATTTTGATTAATTTGAATTCAGTGATGCTTATAGCATTAAGTATATACCAAATAGTTATTTTTCTGTTTGTTTGTTTTGTTTTGAGACAGGATCTCACTATGTAGTTGAAACTGTCCTTGAACTCACTATGTATCCCAGGCTGGCCTCAAACTCACAGTGATCCTCCTGTCTCAGCCTCCCGAGTGCTGAGATTACAGGTGTGCACCACCATGCTTGGCCAAGTAGTTATTTTGATATAGTACTGGGCCGGGGATTTAGCTCAAGTGGTTTCACCACCTGCTGTGCAAGCACAAGGACCCGAGTTCGATCCCCAGTACCAAAAAAAAAAAATTGATATAGTACAAAGTCCATGAATTCTGATCCAATCCTAACAGGAGTTATTGAGAACACATAACAAAAACATGTTTATATAAGACATTTTGAAAGTGCAGAGTATCTCCCATATGTTAATTTTTAAATACCTAATGGAATGCCAGGGACAGAGTAAGCATTCAACTGTTATTCACTGAAAGAATGAACTATAGATTGTCGTCATCTCTGGTACATTCAGGCTTTTCTATAGAAAGCAACCCTGTGGCAGTAAACAGGTCTCAGTCATTATGTTATGTGACAGTTCATTTGGATTGTTAGCTTGATTGGCTTGAGCTCCACCTTGGGATTAGAAGCACATTTCTGGGGGTGTCCGGGTGGGACCTGGAGGCGAGGCCTTGGGGACTATATCGGGTCCCTGGCCACTTCCTCTCTGGCACTGGTCTCCTGCTCTGCTTCCAGCTGCCATGAGGTAAGCAGCTCCCCTCAGCCCAGCCCTCTGCCATGATGTTCCTGTTCTAGAGCTAACTGAAGACCTGGCACTGAAACCATGCGCTGAACTAACCATTTCTTCTGTGAAGGTGTGGGTGTCAGGTGTTTGATCCCGGCCACAGGAAAGCTGATCAGTACACTTTCCTCACTAATGGTCTTGGTACAGTTAATATCCTATGCGATGACCGATTGTGTCAGCTTGAGTAAGAGAAACTCAACTGAATTGGCTCAGCGGTTCCACACCTACACAGGGTATGAAGACCCAGCCTAGGGCGGCTTGTCGCCTGGATGGTATAAAGGGGAATAACAAGGACAAATCTGCTTCGGAGGAGCTCCAGTCTTCGCCTTCACCTTTGACGTCATCTCCTGGCTTCCAGCACAGGCTCTTCAGCTTCCGGCGCAGAACCTTCAGCCTCCATCACAGACCCATCGGCCTCCTGATAAGGACTCTCATGAGACACTGCAGTGAGCTCCAGACCTTCGAACGGATCCTTTGGTCTCCAGTGTGCAGTGTGCAGACATACCCTTTACCCTCTTCCACATCTCACTCTTGGGTGGCCATTGTAAGCCAATCTTATAAATTTTTATATATTTATATATCTTGTGTTACATATGTGGTTCTCTAGTAAACACTGACTGATATACATGGAATATGATAAAATGGCAAAGTATTGATCAAAACATTTCTAGCAACAGCACTGATTGGCTATAAAATACTTACTGCAGTGGCCTGTGGGTTACTGGGGTAGGCGTTCAGGAGCTCCTGAGGAGGGTTTAAAGGTTTGAGATATCGTGTAATGAAAACTGTTTTTCCACTTATGTCAATTACTGTCGTAAGGCACTGACGACTCGGGAACTTTAAGGCACACTCAACTTGAAACTTCTCTGTTGCTTGAAGCAATTTCTCATCTTCCTGAGAATCAAACTTCAAAAAGAAACACTTCATGGAGTGTATATGATTACAGGAGACAAAGTAAAACATGTTCAGATTCCACATGAATTAAAAGTGTGGTTTAAGAAGTATGATTAAGTGATTCTTTATACAACCATCCTGTCTTCATGTCCCTGTAACTTTAATTGTATTTATAATGTACAAATTAGACTGATTCATTAAACACATAAAGTGGATTCCATGGGATTAAAAGAAAGCAGTGAACAGACAAGCAGCCATTGGGAAACTACTGGATTAATACAACAAGCTATGAAAATTAAGCTATGCATAGTGACTCTGACTGATGAGCCCCAGTGACAGACCTTTATGTGACTATCTCCATGTTGGTTTTAAGGGGGAGAAGGGCTCCGAAATCCATCATCTCAAATGTGAGATGTCTGTGTCAGATTCCTAGGGTAGAATTGTCAAGCAGGAAACAATTGTAGCTTTAAGAAGATGGAAAATTAGGAAACAAAGATGATGTGAATTCAACCCTGATCCTTTACACCCATTCATCAAATACAGTAAGTTCCTGACTTAGGAAGGGTTCTGTTCTGGGAGAACGCTTGTAAGTCAGATTTGTTCCTGAGTCTGACAAAGTGAGTCTTATACAGTGTACCTATGAAAGTTCACAACTGGCATGTCCTGTTTTTTTTTTTCTTTTTTTTTGGTACCAGGGATCGAACTCGGGTCCTTGTGCTTGTGAGGCAGGCAACAGAACCACTGAGCTAAATCCTGGGCCCACTGGCATGTTCTTAAGTCAGGGACTTACTGTATTTGAGAAATGTCTGCAGAGGCTCTAAAAGATTCCAGGGATGTGGAATAAACTGAGTATGAAACAATCCCTTCAAAAAAATAAAAAGAAAAGAAATCCCCTCAAGGAACTTCTACTTGAGAGGGCAACATTGCTAAGCACTTAGGTACTTAAAATACCTGACCAGCGGTTCTATGGGGATAAGCACAGGGTGCTATGGGGACATCTAAGAGAGGCAGCTAGAGACGCTGTCCAGGAAGAATAGCAAAGATTCTGAGTCTGCGCTGACTGTTGGCCCTCCAAGTTGAAAGATGAGAGGCCTTTTGCTGCTGCATGCACTTGCATGTTCTGTTGTGTATCCTAACTCTATGCCAGGATGTTCTGAGGCCAGGGCCTGTGTGTGGATGGATTCTTTCTCAGCCGAGCATGCCCACGGCAAGCACTTGATAAACATTAATAGTCACTGAAACTTGTTTAGGCCACCCAGATGCCACTTCAAGGAGTGAAACAGGAATTTAAGGAGTTGTATGCTATGCTGGTGATTTAAGAAGTGCTATGGAAAAGCTACATAATAAAAGAATTTGGATGGTTTATTATGCAAACAGTTCAGGTGGAACTGACAAGTTCACAGTTTGATTCAAGGGGAAATTTGGAAAATTCTTAATTGGCTTGATTATTTGACCCCTAGGTTAACATAAACATTTACAGAACACTGAAAGGGTATATCCTGCTTTTGAATAGCTGCACCTTGACAGCCCCAACCTACTAAAAAATTGTCAGAGCCACATTCTCTTAAGCAGCTCATAGGCTTCCTGGATTTGGAAGGAGTGAAGGTTGCTCCCAAGGGGGAGGTGACATTCAGATCGATGACTTCCTAGACTTAATGCCAACTGAGACCTTTCTGACAAATGAAGCAGGCCAGAGGAATTTTTTTTTTTTGGAGGGGAGCAGTGCTGAGGATTGAACCCAGGGCCTTAAGCATGCTAAGCACATGCTCTGCCTCTGAGCTATACCCCAACCAGACTGCGGACATCTACAGTTCACTGCCAAGGAATCACTCACACGTCTGGACCCAGCCCCTGTCCCCTGGGGACGGTGGACAAAAGCAGCTACTTGGGAGCCTAATAGTGAATTATAAAACAAAATACCGGTACCTTCTTAAGCATGTCACTCATCTATCACAGGCAAGCAAGAAGAAAAGAAATAGAAGAAATGAGAGGAAGACTTTTATCAAGATAAAAAGATCTATTGTAAAAAACTTGTTTCCATCCAAGACAGTGTAAAGTAGATGTTAAAACAAGTGTTCGCAAGGTCCCAAGTTTGATCCCCTGTACCAAAACAGAACAAAACAAAACAAAAAACAAGTGTTCAGGAGTTGCTCATGATTTTTAAAACTTTTCCATTAGTAAAAACCTTTTAAAAATCATATAGAATGATTCCACATGGGATGGAGGAAGAGGGACCACTAATGTGCTAATCCTGGAAGTTTCTGTTGGTGAAAATATTCTAGGTTGTGGTCACCATTTGTGACAATTAAGCCTAATTATCAACTTGACTGACTTGGGGGCCTTCTAGGGGACTTGTGAAAGCACACTTCTGGGTGTCTGGGTGCACCATGGAGGCCTAACTTGGGGGTCTGCACCTGGTCCCTGGCTCCTTCCTCTCTGCTGCTGTTTTCCTGCTCTGCTCCCCAGCCGCCATGAACTGTGCACTGGGGTCCGCCACACCCTTCCACCATCATCACGTTCCTGCCTTGGAGCCAGCCAACCATGCACTGACTCTCCTGAAACCATGAGCAAAATAAACCTTTCCTCCTTTAAGTTATGTATGTCAGGTTCTGAGTCTCAGTAATAGGGAAGCTGACTAATACACTACTGTTTTAGGGTAAGAGCTTTGCTTTCCTGAATGGTCTGCAGGTGAATCACAGGGTGGTAGTTTCTGCTACCAGTTGTTTAGATTATCAGTTTCCTATCAATCAACTGAGTTCCCTAACAAACAAAAACAAAAATAAGCCCTGTTTAGAGGTCTTAGAGAAATGCTTCCTGCAGCCACAATGGGGCAGTGACATGCCACCAAAGGCAGCAGTTGACTGCCTAGTTCACAGCTGTAGGGAGGAGGGCTGCAGGGCTTGGGACCCCGCTCCAGGCCTGGGTGCTTCTCCAAAGGAAACCTACAGCAACAAGGACTCGGGCGTTCAGCCTTTCTGTCAGCCGAAGACTGCTTTTGCATGTTCTGGAAACTCCTCCAGAGGACGAATGGCTGACTGCCTTTTCTTCTGTTTAGCATTCACAGAAATAACAAAATCATCTTTTGTCTGGGAGCATTTTTCTGTGTGAACATGCTTGTAGGCTTTCTCTTGAATTTACACATAAGACAACACTCAAAATATATAGTCCCTTTCTGAAAATATTGAGATGCACACATTCTAATGATTTTTTGAGAACCACAGCTTTAGTGACAGAGCCTAGCATATAAGAGTAATTTGAATTTCAGTACATTTATTTTCCAATAATCTTTATATACTGCAAACACCTTCCAAATGGGATATAAACATAGTATTTTTCTCTGTGAACCAAAGTGGAATACTGGAAAAGAAATGAAAGTGCATTCATTTTCTTTTTTTTTTTTTTGGTTCCCATCTGAATCTTAATAACAGTGGAAAACTAAAGAGGACAAGAGATTGTGCCACATGGCATGGCAGTTACTGGGTGCAGTATTGTGAATATACACCTCGTGGAATTTCCACCTGCTGTTCCAGGCTATTATACCACCAGTCCCTTAAAAAAATACCTGTCACATACAGGATGATCACTAATGTGTGCTGGGTGTACAGCGTGTTCAAGCGTCACCTCTGCCGTGTACTGCCTGTGTGACACTCAATAAATGCAGTCTTACTTAGACTCATTGCCCAAGACATCTGTGAGTGTCCAAGAAGAGAACATATCCCCAAGTCTGACAGTGCTGAGGAGTAAGGACTCAAAGCACGCTGGTGATGGTGATCACTACATTAATCCACATTAATCTCAATAAGAGGTCACAATAATTTTTTGCCAGATCCAACAAGGGCAGCATGCGTAAAGGCTGCATGAATACTTCACATTAGAAAGTCTGTTTCCCAATGATGAAGGTTGGGGAACAGCTGCTACCAAGTGGAAGTTATAGAAATTCTTCATTCTAGAGTTATTTAAAAGAGAACGTATGCATATACCGATTCATCTAATGAAATGAATTTTGGTGACCCATGAAGGTCATCTGGCCTTCTGATGCTACGAATTGATTCAGTGCATGGCACAGCCAGATACGTGAGGTCAGACGTGGAAATCCATTCCAACATGGTTGCTAGTAAGTTTTAAAAGAGGAATCTGATTTTCTAATTTGTCATTTTTCATTTTCACACTGAGTAAATTCTTCTCAAAGCAGAACATGTTTATATTTGTCTTGCTTTGCCCAAAAGTTTAGGTTACTAATTGACCTAACTATTGGCTCAGTGAAAGCCCAAACCCACACATCTGTTCTTTCACTATCATTCAGTCCAAACTGAAAGAATAACAAATGGAACTTGAAGCAAGAGAACCTTCGTTCAGTGCAAAGTTTACAATAGCTTGGCCTGGCTGACACTTGTCAGGTTTCACCAGCATTTGCCTTGGTTTCCAAACTGTGCACAAGCAAAATTACCTTCTCTTGGATGGACTCTCCTGGAACCAGCTGTGGCTCAATGGTGATAAACAGCGTAATATAGGAACCTTCACTTAAGCTTCGGACAGAATCAAAGCCTCGCTCAATAAGCATGTTTCGCTCCTTACTGTAGCCCAGGAGAACTGGGGGAGTATCTATTTTAAATGTTCCATCAATCTGTGAAGAAAGTATGATTTGGTAAGCATTCTGGTGGTTTTTCCGACAGAAGTTCAAAAGCAAATGTCAACTCCTCGTTGTCTAGTGAATTAAATAGAAGCTAGCATGCTGACATTCAAAGCCCACCCCATCTTTCTAGCTTCATCTCCCAAGCTCTCACTAGAAAGGGTGCTATATTTCCCTGCCTTCTGTTTTGTGTTTAGCCAAGGGTGTACTGGCTATGCAAGTTGCTTGGGTTCATATACTGATTTAAACTCCAAGTGCCTCAGCTTCCTCATTTTTAAATTTAATGTCTCATTTATAAAAAGGAGACAATCATAGTACTTACTGTGTAGGGCTGTTGTGATTATGAATGAATGAAGAGATACAAAACACTAACAACAGTGGCTGGCTTGTGGTAAGTGCTCTATAAATACTGGCTAGCTGGCATTCCCCTTTCCTGCAATGCCGAGCTTCCCATCTTTACCTTACAGAATTTTAATTATTTTTTAAGGCTTGGGTCAAATGTCTGTATCATGAATTTCTTTGTTATATCTACCACTCTACCACAGAGTTTGTTTCTTTCATTTGTTAGATTAAGACATTATGTTCAACGTTATAGTTGTGTGCATATTTGCCATATTCTAGTAACTGCTCTCAGCAAATATTTTTCCTCCTTTTATATCATCTTTCTCTGATACACAGCAGTGTTTCGAATGCACAATAGATGCTCAGTGAATGTGAGCTGAATGAATGACAAGCCACTTATGCAGAAGGAACTTACATAGAGTTCAAAAAGGCAGAACTTTTTACTTTGTAATGTCAGAACTACTCAGGGTTGGAATTTTAAATGCACTGATTTGCAAAGCATCCAATTTTTATTACAGCCTTTAGTGGCTTTTGTGTCTCAGTAGAACTAAAGAAAGAACTTAACATTTCAGTGGATATGTTGTCTAGAAACGAATTATGGAAGCCATCATGTATTTGTCTCCTTACATCAATGGAGTGCACCAAAGCCCTATACCCAATCTAGTGATAGGGTACAGAGGAGAAATGGTCAAAAAGTCACAGCTTAAATAACAGCACATTTATTCTGTAAAGTAGGCCAGTGAGATAGAAGACAATATGCACTACCTTCAAGAATCTGAAGTGTAAGGACTTGAGACAGGGATTCTTAGCCTGCCACGGCTGCTATTTGGGGCCAGGTCACCCTTGGCACTAGAGGCTGTGCTGTGCATTGTAGGGTGCCAGTAGCAAACCCGACTGGATTTTACCAACCGAAGATGTCACAGACATTGCCACATGCTCCCTGTCATACCTTTAAGAGCATGGGCTTTGGAATCAGACAAAACTCTTAGACAATAAATGTAATGAAGTTATTCTCCAAAGGAACATTGAAGCATCTAAACAAAAACGCTGAATACTGCTTTCTCCTTTAACCAGTCTTGTTAGGAGTTGGTAAAAGTTGAATCCCAACTGTGCTGTAAGCCCCTGTGATTTGAGTAAGTCATGTAACCTCTCTATGTTCTGTCTCTTTGTAAAATGGGGATAATAAAACCAACTGTGTTGTGAGGCTTAACTGAGGTGACACATAAGGAACCTAGTATGGGGAGGTAACATTTTTCACCCAAAATTATTATTACTATGGGATCAACATTCTCCTTGTTACATGTAGCTCCAGGGAACTGAAGCAGGACCTAAGAGTGGGAATTACAGGAAGTACATAGATAGTGGCACCTTTCAAGGAAAAACCTTATGACAGAGCCATTCAAGGGAGAACAACCTGCTCATAGGTAGTGATTTCTTGGGGAAGTAAGCAGAGCTGAGCATCGCCAGGCAGGAAATAGGAGCTTCATTCAGCAGGGAGTTTGGAATAACGACTTCTGAGTACCCTTCCAAACGTGACCTTCAGTAATGCCAAATATTATAGGCATTTGGCTTGTAAATGAAATGCTCTTTAAAGTTTGTTCTTTTAAAGTCTATTCAAAGATGGAAGTGTAACTTCTTTTGGTGAGTGTGACACCACACTGTCCCCTCTGTGCAGGAAGGATTGCAATTCCAGCTGATCCTTGAGATTCCAGCTACCCCAACTCAAGCCTCCCAGACTGGAGTTTTGCTCTTGGTTTTGCTGGAGACCCTGTGGCCCAGGGAGCATTCGCTCTGTGCAGTCATTACAGTGGCTCAGAGTCTCCGGTTGCCATGGATTTAACACTGGGACATTAGAGAGATTTCGGAATCCTTAACTGTCCCAGATCAGAGCTGCTGCCATTCCAGAGCTGTCAACCTAATGAATCCCCTTAAGCAAAATCATTAACTCTGAAGAAGAGTATCTTTGTGCAGCACGTCTGTGCTAATACTTTTTCATGTTTTAAATAGTGTGCAATGAAGAAGTATTAACAGAACACACTGGATTCAATGGGCCATTGCCTGTCTTGATGGTTTTGTGCCGATTACGTTCAGTCATCTATCCATTCCACTTTCATCATTTTGACAAGTTTGTACTTTGTCCCACCTCCTTCGCTTCTGTTTAAATGTTTAAAATATTTTCACACTTGAACAGCCATGCATTAACCATTAACTCTAATGGTTACTTTATTAATGTTTAATAAGTCATACAACTATCATGGCAGATCAGTGCAATGACTGTTTTCATTCCAATGGCTTTGGACCCAAGTTCTCTCAGTGTTGACAGGGCAAATGGACAGAGCTGTTTCCTATTCCCAAGGAATTCTGACTTCAGGTACTTACCCTTCCTTGGAAATATATAGTGCTAAATGGAATCTTCACACATCCTAACCAGTGCCTCTCAATCCGAGTGTGGATTCCACTTCCTCTTTCCCGATCATCCTAAAGGAAACGTTTGGAGGAGGTAAAAATTATTTAAGAACTGCAGAACTGCATTTAATTAACTTTTCACCAAGAAAGCAGCAGGGTTTTGGCTAAAACCATGCAGACGTAGGTAAGAAGGACCTAGCTGAATTCCCCTTCAGACACTTAAGAGCTTTGTGACCCTAGGTGTCTTTCGCTTTCTTTGAACTTCAGTTTTCTCATCAATCAACTGCAGCTTTCACAATGTATCTCATAGGACATTTAAGAGATAAATAAAACAATATATAAAAAACATCCAGTACAATTCCTGGCACAGAGCAAATACCTGCCTGAAAATAAGAAAGCCAGTTCTCCCCACACTGTTTCCCTACTTAACCGTGTCAAGTGTCAAGCACTTATAGCGTTAGAGAGGTGGGAACTGTGTTGGAGATTTCTCCTGGGACAGAGGACATGATAGAGTTCAGACGTCCTCCTTGAAACTGAGAACTCACCTCTAAGACATCGCATAGCACTTCGTCAAAAATATTAATGAACACATCATCTTTCACCGACTGTAAACTGGCTGAGCTATAATCCCCGTTAGGGGCCCTGTAAAATAACACAGGCCAGGGGCCATGAGAACAGGAAAAACAGAAATAATGAGATGCGTATGTCAACATCTGAAAAATACCCAAGTAGCAGTGGAGGGGGGGTGGTGGATGAAAGACACCCTCTTCCATCCTTCTTGTTTCTGTTTGTTTCTTTTCTTTTGAGACAGGGTCTCACCGTATAGCTGAGGTTGGCCTTAAACTCACTGTGTAGTCCAGCCTTGCCTTGAACTCACGGCAATCCTGCCTCAGCCTCCTAAGTGCTGGGATTACAGGTGTGTGCCACCATGCCTGGCTAATAAAGGCAGTGCTTTCATTTCCAGGACTTTCCTGGGGCAGGAAGAAGGTAATATCTACACTCGGATGGAGAGAATGCTGCACTGGAGACTGCAGAGCCAGCTCCTCGGCGGGCTTGTTCTGCTGAGTCTCCACTTTCCTCCCCCAGCCCACAGTGAGCTTTACAGGCAACAGCATGGGCACAGGTCTCTCGCCGACGCTGGGGTTAGTCACAGACTTGCCCAGCAAGACGGCTCCCAGTAGTAAATCTCCTACTGCTGTTTGCTGGTTGAATGCTCCCTCCCCTCCACTCACTTTCTCATGGGGGGGGAGGGCTTTTCCTGCCAGGCCAGGCACTGTGGATATGGAGCATTTCCCTTAAGTGGCCTCATTCTTCTCGCTTGTGTTTTGTGTAACAGTGCTCTCTGGTCCCCTCTAACCCTGCTCGTCTCTAAGCTACTGTGGGCTTTCAGTACATCACCTGCCCTTTACGGGTATTTGTTTCTTGTCCAGAAAAGCAGAAGGTTAGATAAGGTCACTTTAAGGACTAAAATAATAAAAATCTTTAAAATATCTGAAATTCTTGGGTCACTGTTGTGGAATGCTTGTTTATTTTTGGCGAAGACAAAAATGTCATTTAGGGGGGCTGGGCTGGAGCTCAGTGGCATCGTGCCTGCATGGCAAGCGTGAGGTCCTGAGTTCGATCCCTGGTACCCTCCCCCCAAACCCCAAACAAACAAACAAACAAAAAAACCAAAACAACAAAAAATCCAGAGCCTGAGGGAACATAAGAGTGTCCGACCATGGCCCCCAGTTTCAAACACCGGACACTGTTCCAGTTTTACAGAGTCATCTGTGGCCGAGAGAGAGACACAGCATCAGACTTGTTGTCGGGGCACCTGGTTCTTGTTCCAACTCACCAGTCGTCCACCTCTACACCTCTCCCCTCAGCCATCTCTCACTGGCCCTATTTTCCTCACACTACTCAAGACATCCTACAGTTCTATAAAGAAAACTGTGTTTACCTGAATGGAAATTCAAGCTCTTCATTCCAGCTGGGGTTTGGTCCTTCAGCTGTGGTTGTGTGGCAAATGGTTCGTTGAAAAGAGACTTCTACAAAAGGACGGACTAAAACCTTACAAGAGAGGACAAATCCTGGTTAGTGGAATTATTTTGTTCTTAGCAGAGGTAGCCTGTGCTTATCAGTGTATTTTTTAAAAAATGAAGCAGAAAAACTGCTCATGAAGGTGATGGGTGATTCTTAAAAACATCAGAGGACATTGGGAGCATCCAGGCTCTCACCTGGCCAAGAGGGTTGTCGGGGCTTTGGTTAGGGCTGTGTGCACTCGGGGAAGCAGCATGCTTCTCACTGAAAGTCCTCGAAGACCTCGATGGCTGCTGGAATTTGCTGGGAGGGAAAGTGTACAAAAGAAATAAGTGACAAGGCGTATTTGATTATCTACTGAGAAGCTGTTTTCTTCAAAATGTATGGCCCTAGTAGCTGTGGGGAAAGCTGTTCTTCCTAAGCTTGTGGCGTCTCCGAAGCTTTTCGTATCGCCTAGTGATTATGCGAGCCTTCCTTCCCCAACTGCTATTCCTGGGCCTGCATGTCTGCTGAGAACAGAACAAAAGGCCTCCTTCTCCTTCCCTCGCACTGGGCATCTGTGTGGGACCTGCCTTTCCCCGTGAATGAGAGCTGAGTCCCTACTAGGTAGTGGAAGCCTGGGCACCTGCCCTGACTCCATCCGGTGACACTGGGCTACAGGGCAGGCCAGGAGCTCTCTCTGGGCCTTTGCAGCCTTACTGGGAAGAGGAGGTTGGGAACCCCCAGCTCGAGTTGAGTTGAGATCACTAGGTCTTACCTCTTTCTCCCTCCTCTTCCTTCCTTCCTTCCTTCCCCCGCACCAGGGAGTGGGGTTTTTTGAGACAGAGTCTTCACTATGTAGTTTTTGAACTATGTAGCCCAGGCTGGCCTCAAACTTGAAGTGATCCTCCTGCCTCAGCCTGCCCCCCCCAGCACTGAAATCACAGGTGTGCGCCACCCCACCTGGCTACCTTCTCCCTTTTGATCTGCCATTCACACAGGAGCAAATGAAGGCCACTTCCAGAGAGCCTCATCCAGATACCTCTCCCCCAGGATTCTAACTTCCTACTTGTGCACAGCTGTACTGCATTCATTCCTGATCAAAGTACAAAGTGTCTCTTTCTACCAGGTGGTTACCTTTCCACAGGTAGGGTTTCGGACAAACTGTGAGACAATACAAATGGAACATTCAACACAACACCTGCCAGAGAAAACCCATTTTTCTTTGGAAAACCATCAATTATATTATGGAACAAACAAATATAAGTATGTGCTGATTTCAGGACCTATGTTGGCCTTGGGCTGCAGAGGCAAATAGGGCAACACGTCAGCTCAGACTGAACTGAAGGCAGATATAGCAATCTCCAAGTGAGGTAACACGTTAGACTAGGTGGGCATGGCTATCCGAGCATGGAGACGGAGATGGAAATCCTATCTGGTTGAGCACAAGGGTAGAGGCTGAAGATTTGGGTGAGTTTAATGGAAAAGTTGATGTCCGAGCTGTTCTGATGCAGCTACACTGAAACATGTAGCACGCAGGATCAAGGATGCTTTCTTGAATTACCTGAATGAGTGATTTAACACTTGAGAATATATATAGAGACCAACAAACAAATAAACACCTCTATGTTCCTTAAAAACAAACAACAACAACCAAATAGCTTTTCACTCTGGAGTTGAGCTTTGAGGCACTCAGGGTGGAACAGTTGGGGAATAGGCCCTGGAAACCAATGGTCCATTCCAGGGCCTAAGTGGACCCTGATAAGAACCAAGCCCTGAGAATGGTTGGCACCAACAGACATTCTGTAATTGGTGAAGAACTAGAAAAGAAAAACAGGACAACATAACTGGATGAGAGAATGGAGGGATGGAGAAATAAAGGAGAAGAACCTAGAGAGGAAAGAAAATGCCAAAGGCTGGCCCAGCACTCTTCTGTGAAACAGGCAGTGCTGAACAACCTCGACTAAGTCACTCTGCTCACTTCCATTTTTTCCTCTGTGAAGCGGAGAGAGCAATAGTAGTAGTAAGAGTTACGTGAAGTGGTGCATGCAGGTGCCTAGCACGGCACTGTGCGAATGCACAGTAAACTCTGCTTTCCTTCTCACCTACAGTGAGGGCTCCACCGCCTGCAGGGCAGAGACTCTGTGTGTCCGCCCAGCTGGGGCCTGCTGCTTTGACCCCACCTTTCTGGCTGTAGGGGACAGGACCGGGCACCAACACCTAAGCCCAGTTAGCACCTCAGCCTCTCTCCTGAGGGTGTGATGCTCAGCTGGCAGTGCCCTGGCTGTAGGACCACTTCCATCTCATGAGAAAAAGGAATCAGGTCCCTGCCGTCCACTGTGTCAACAGCTCTACCTCTTGTCCTTGAGTTCCATGAGATGTCCCAGTCCCTTAGTCTGCAGTGACTGTTACTTGCAAACAATGGAGCCTCGGCTTCAGCAAGAACTCCTGGCCCCAGTGGACAAAGCTCTGGTAGGCACAGGAGTGAGCACCTGGGCCCTCACCTTGCTGAGGGTTTCCTCACTGGAATGTCGTAAGCCCGGCAGATGTTCACCAGCAGCTTTATGTCTCCATCAGACAGGTTTTGGGCCGTCACCTTCTTCCGGCCCCTTCGCCTTGGCCTCAGTGGTCGCTTTTGTTCTGCCAGCTTGAAGAGGCTTAGGCCCAAACTGCTAATGATTACAGAACTCGATTAGGACTCAGAGGAAAAGAAGGTCCCGAAACTGGGTGATGGCTTCCAAACTCTGCCCCGTCATCGCTCATGGGCCTTGGCGAGCTCTGCCCTTTTAAGGAGTTTGGAATAGTCTAGCAATTCTGCCAAATGGGCGATGCCGCTGCATGGCTTCTTCACATTGATTTCCTCAAAGGAGGAAAAGCCATGTTCTGGCCCTGCCTGTGCCGCCCGCTTGCTCCCTGCCTTGCTGACCTGGCAGCCCCTCACCCTCATTTGCTCCTGCCAGTCCTTCCCTCCCCCTTCAACTGCCGGTGGGAGGCATTTTACCCACCCCCAGGTCTCCCTGGCCCCTCCCACAGAGTCCCAGCCTGAGTTGGAAGGGCTGCTATCGGCCCGGAGAGCTTGGGACTTCTCCATCTCAGGTTAGATGGAGCTGGGTGCAAATCCTGGCTCCAGTCTACTCTGGGCCAGGTTATTTCACCTCTCTAAGTCTCTTTCCTCATCTGCAAAACGGGGTCCTTAATACCTCCCTGTGGGTAGATGAGAGGATGGATGTGCTGGGGTGCACTCCATAGATGCCCTTTTCATGGCAACTGTTGGGTTGGTGCCAGTGACTGCAATGCTAGTGACTGTTCTGGAGGGAGAGGGGCACAATCCTTCTGTCATCTCTCTCTACCTTTCACCGAGATGACACTCAACAAAAACTTCCTGGAAGATGAAAGCAACAAGGCGGTAAATCATGGGTGAAAGGTCCTTGGGGCAGATAAACTCTGGCCAAGAGACTAAACAGAAACACAGATGCGATTCTGTGTCTGGAAGCTGACATCGGTGACTGTGCCAGACAGGCACAGAACAAGGTCAGCTGTGTGGAGTCAGCCATGGGCTGCGGGACGTGTGGCTCTCTGCTTTCCTGCCGAGCCCTGGGGTGGGTGCCCAAGCAGTCCGGACTGGACTCCTCTGCTGGAGGTGCACAGCAGCTGAGGCTGAGAGCCATCCGCTGTCTCTGGGTGCTCAGGAATCCCAGGAGCTTTCTAGCTGCAGCTTCTGTTCGCCTGTTAAAAGCACCTTCAGTGTAGCAGAAGTGGTGCTAGGACCTTACCTACACTATTTCTAACCCTCACAAGTAGAGTGTTTACCCCATTTTTCAGACAAGGAAACTGAAGGCTCTGAGAGGTGCTGATTTGCTGAAGGTAATGAAATTTTGTTTCATTTTCCATAAGAAAATAAAGTAGGAGGGGGGAAGCTGGGGTTCAAACTCAGACCACTGACTACACACTGCCAGGACACAGTCCTCCCCCAGGAAGCCTGCCCACCCTGGACTTGGGGGCCTCGCAGACACACTCTGCGCCCTAACACAGCAAATCTCTTTTCTCATCGACACTTCCCCTCTCCCAGACGTAACCCCTCCTGGGGACTTCAATGCCCCGCAGGCAGTCATGGGAGCACCGTGTTGGCTGGACCATTAAATATGGAAACATCTTAGTGGAAAGCCACAAACAAACTGAAATTAAAATAAAGGAATGAACATACCCCGAGCCTTCAGAACTTAATGCAGAAAGTAAAGCAGAAAAAACAAAAAAGAAAGAAAGGAAAGAAAGAAAAAAACAGCATGAAAAATCATCATCTGTTCTAAGTGTAGTTTTCTTGACTATGAAAACATTCAACAACCACACTTTGGGCCTGGAATAGAGAGAAGTTCCCCATGAATTTCTGTGGGTGTCTCTTCTGCACAGGCTGCCGTAGATGGAACCTTCATTTATTTATTCATGGCTTCCTCCCAGCTTGGTGGTGGACAGCAAGCACAACAATAGGAAGCAGCCTCCTTAGGAGACCAAGAGATTGGGCCACAGAAAAGGTCATGAAGTGAGGGGGCCCCATGAGGCCACCAAGATGGGGGCTTATCTCTCACCTCTTCTTCACCCAGCCCCAGCTGGGACCACTGAGGGTTATTCTAAATCATAGGACACCCAGCCGGCGAACACTGTCAGTTCCCAGCTTCGCTGTCAATGTGCATGTTTTCCTGCTGCCCTTCGCCCTCATTAGGCACACATGCTAGCCCCGGGCCTCCGGGCTGGGGTGCTGCAGCCAGGCCTCCCGTGCAACCCCAGAACTGTGGAGGGTGAGGGCCTGGCCACCCCCTCTGCCGGGCCCAGGTCGGGGCAGCCTGGCCCTGGGAGGCTCGGAAGCAGAGGGCCTGTGCAGGAGGGTTGGGTTTTGTGATAGAAAGCAGCGGACGCTGGGGAAGGGATGCTTTGGAAGTGCTAGCAGGTGAGAGGGCTAAACTGGAATGCCATGGGGAGGCTCTGGCTTGACTCGTTCTAACAGAAATTCCCCAATCAGTGTCACCACGGCGCATCATTCTGGGCCCACATGCATACCATGGAGCGATTTTTATACTATTGGGTATTTTCAATTTATCACGTGTGTGTATAACTCTTAGGGTAAAGAATGTGTAGAGCAAATAAATAGGTTGAGTCTGGGAAACAGAAGGAACAGCATGTTTCGTTCAAATTCTTCAGAGTACCTGTTCGGGTTATCAAAGACTGATCACCCGAGTGTCCGGGCAGCTAGGAGGCAGATTTCTTGCTTCCTACCATCACTTCCTTAGAGCATTTGGGTGTTTTCATTGTTAGAATTGTCATATTAAATTTTGGTTGAATAAAGAGTTTTATCTTTTCTTCATTCCTTCAACCTTCCTCCTCTCCCTTTCCTTCCTGTCTCTCCCACTGCCAAATAAAGGACACTACTCCCTCTGTATCTGCGGATATACCCCAAGACCCCTAGTGGGTGACGGGAACCCCAAATAATACTGAATCATATACATCTATATCTTTTCTTCTTATGCATACATATCTATGATAAAGTTTAACTTAAAATGAGGCATGGTATGGGGTTAACAATAATAAAATAGAACTGTAATAAAAGTTACATGATTATGAAAAAATCTTGTATGACATTTTTTTACAGTATAGAATAAAAATAAAGATTTTTATAGGAAACAATAATAATAATGGCTTTGTTTGATTCTTTTTACCTGATATTGGGAACTTCTTCTTCTACTACCAAGTCAGCAAGAAGGAAATGATGTTTTGCAATTAGGAAACGATTTACTACTGACTCTCTAACCTGGGGAAAGACATCAGCATTGGTTAAAAATATTCTTATTGGTTAAGCTTCACAGTTTACAGCCTCTGCTCCGTGGAGTCTTTGCCCTAATGTCACGTCCGTGTCTCCTACCCTCAAACTGTTATTTTTTTTTTGCTGTAAATGCTCTCATTTTCCACCCCTAGACTATAACTTTCCTAAAGGCAAGGGTTATATTTCAGGAGCTGGACAAAGGATAGTAAACTTTTGCTTAATGAATGCATTAGTGATTTAAAAAATCAGACCTCGAAGTATACACAATTCAGAATTGAGTCTTAAGTTTTTCCTCTATTCAGAATGATCAACTTTCTAATTCAAATAAAAGATCTCTTAAAATTTCCATAAATCTCTTTTTTTTGCGGGGGGGGGGGTACACAGACCACAGGGTAGACAAACGAGATGAGGAAAATGCCTGGTAATCACAGCAGCATTCCTTAAAAATTAAGTTTACTGAAAGAAGGAAAGAAAAAAGATGAAAAAAAAAACCCAAAGGAAAGAGGATAAAGAAAAAGATGTTTCAACTTTAATTTTTAGTTTTCTAGTGCATAAAGGCAGGGTTTTTTGGTTTAAAAATTTGTTCTGACTACAGTGGTAATCACTGGAATGCAATGCAACATAAATGCAAACATTCAAATATTAGAAAAAGCATGATGTAGAAATTGAGTCCTTTGTAATCGTGCCCTATTTAAGATATTCACTGATAATAAATCACAACACATCCTACTAGTTTCATATATCATCAATTATGTATTTGTATTTATGAAAGTAAGTCCAGAGAGGCTAAGCTTGTGTAAGATGACACAGACATTTATAAGAATGAGAACTTTCCCCACTAGAACGCTGGCTCCTTCTCCTCCTGTACCATCTGCTTTAAATTATTCTCCTTACCTGCTGCAGGTACTTGGCAACTATGGCTCGGTGGGTGTCCATGTGGTCCTTGGTTTCAATTACGCTTTTGTCTCGTAAACGTTTCTCATAGTCCTAAAATGAAAAGAGCATCACAGTTTTATGATTTTAAAGTGCTTTCTGTTGCTCTTCTTGGGAATAGGGAATTATTTATCAATGTGGCTTAGTCACAAATTAGAGTTATAAATGTTCCTTCTAACTTCTGTTTCAGAGTGGATCTTGGATGTAGTATCTAGGATTCTGAGTCAGGGTCAGTGAGGTTAGCAGCCTTACTAGTGGTACAGTATTTAAAAGTTAAAACGTTCATGCAGGAAGGGATAGAAGCCACAGAAGAGACAGAGCAAGGACTTATAATTTGTCTTAGTTATTTTTCTCATTGCTGAGACAAAATACCTGACAGCCAAAGTTAAAGGAGGAAAAGTTTATTTGGCTTTCATTTAATAGAGGTTTCAGTCCATAATTGGCTGGCTCCAAGGCAGTGTGGCATGGCAGAGGGGCAACAGTTCATGGTGGGCAGGAGGTAGCAAAAGCAACATTAACAGTGTCTTTCTGCCCCTTACATCTTATCCGGACTACTTAGGGCAGTAGCACTCACTCTTAATCCTAATGCCCTTGATCCTTGCATTGTGCCACGAATCAATCAGCATCACATGCTCTAGATCCAGCCACCTCTGAAAAAGCCCCATCTATGACTGTGTGAGGACTTGAGGGGACATCTAGACACAAGCCATAACATAATTCAAGATGATAAGCTCATTTAAGCAACTTAACCAAAGCCCTGCTTAAGTTTTGCCCTATTTTAATTACAGAAACAGTGGAGAGCTCCAGTGAAAACATTCCCCTTATCCCATGACATGTGGCTGTAGCTGTCTTGGGTCATCTACTCAGAGGGTGGCATTGGATTCCTTTGGCTCTGCTCAGGCCTCTCCCTTCTTCAGTCAGTGAGACAGCGTGTGTGCCCCACCACATTCTTCTTTATGCGCAACCTCAGTCAAAGATCAATGGCCAGCAGTGGCTTCTAACCCAGGCTTGGAGGCTCAGAGCTGTGCCTCAAGACTTCTGAATTTGGAGCTGGAGGACAGCTCTGTTTCTACTCGCTAATGCCGCCAAATATAAACTTGGCCGGTGTTGCTGAGCATGTGACCCAGTAGATAAATCCTGTCTGCAAACAGGAAGAAGGAAGCTACCAAAGCAGAAGCAGAATGGCGAAGGGGCCCAGCAGCGGGAGGGCAGGCATCCTGGGGTGTGAGGCACAGGGGCTCCTGCAGTCCCACGTCTTTAGGTGTTCAATGCTATTTTGGAATTAAATACCAGTAAACTTCCACTGTGTCTGAAATTGTTCAAAATGGGGTTTTTACCCCTTAGGATCACAAATGCAAATCACTGGTTGGTAGGAGGAACCGCCTAACAAAACTACTCACCAAGAATAGTTTCTGCATGAAAAATTGCAATGGTATTCATTTCTAGTGGTTCCCCATTTACCTCATCAAATACACACCTGCCTGTCTCTCACACACAGCCCATGCCCTGTAACTCCTCAGAGCTCCTCAGCCTCCACACCTGCCTCTGCGATCCACCCTCCGCTGAGCCTTTGTTCCTCCTCTTGCCCTTGCTTCTGGTGGAGGGCCGGCCTGCTGCCTTCCTGCTTGGCTGAGCCCAATGGTGAGATCCTACCCATCTATAGGTTTCCCTGAGTGCCTTGCAGTATGCCTCAGACAGGGTACTTAGCAGGTACTTAGTACATGAAAATGGAACTGAACTCCTGATGAAGGCAGCACTAGTTAGCCATATTAACCTGCACGATCTTTTCAGTCTTCCTCTTCTTTTAATTGTAGGCAGTTCAACCAACTGATTCAGAATCCTGGTTACTGGATATATGCTATTATATCGAGGCAAGGAGATCATTTAAATATCAAATTCAAGAAAAATAATGGACAGGTTAAGTATAAACACGCTATAAAACAAAAACTAATTTTGATACTGAGAACATCAGTAAAGTACACATACAACCACATACCAAACAGCACAGCAGATATTTTATTATTTTATTAACCTCTCTCAGGAAATTTCCTACCTGGAATACCCTTTCCATAATTTCTCGGTCATATGCCGGAATTTGCTTATAATTTCGGAATTCTGGCACCTCTTGGCTTCTAAGACGGAGAAGCCGGAATCGTTTGGATCTATTTAATTCCTCATCTGAGACAAAGTTAAATTCTTGTTGCAGCTGTTCCAGTCGAAAGAAATCAGGGACATAAGATTCTCCACTGGTGGCAACCTATAAAAATTAGAAAATGCAGAACTCCAGACAACAGGCAGGTTTCATTCAAACAAACCCAGCACCGAGCTTTTGGGAATGTTTAACAGTTGTAGACCAACAAGTTTGAAGGCCAAAAACTTAAAATACAATTGTAAACGGGCAGATAGTATTATATTCACTTAGCAGTTATAAGAAGTACTACAAGTCATTTTCCAAAAACATGAAAATTCTAAGTTTCACTTTTGGTGTGCATGGTTCTGTAACAGTGTTATGATATACAATGTATAGACCAAAATAAAGGAAATGTGGACATCACATTTCAGTGTATAAACTAGCACCAACTAGAAGTAGGATTACTCACAAGCATGGCACATGTAAAATGCAGACATGGGAGGCTTTTCAATGTGTTTGTGCACATATGCAGATAAAGCCCTGAGTTGGCTGGTCAGCTTCATTCCTGTCTGAACAGCATCTCATGGTCTTAGTCGTGCAGAAAAGTGAGTCAGAGATGGACACCAGCGAGCCCAACCTCCAGGGCCTCACAGAGGTGCTGAGTCAGCATAGGCTGCTTGATTCCCAGGTCTCTGCTCGGTGCTTTGCAGCTGTGACCTCCTCCTGGTCAGAGGGAGGCTAGACAGCAGAGACTTGCTGGGGCCGCAGGATGGGAAAGAGGACCCTGCTTGATGCTAGGGGAAATTCTGGTCCATAGGAAGTTTTATGGCTTGTATTTAGATGTATCTATGACCAAAACCTCAGGTGGTCATAGGTGCAGAGTTTCAAAGGTGGCTGGATTGGGGTGTGTGAATGTGGAATAAGGGGGTGATGCTGGGCATAAAGGTGCTGAGTGTGGGTAGCAGCAATCAATAGGTCTATAGACTGGATGCAATATAAAGGGACTAAAAAGGCAGATTGCTGCTGCTTCCTGCTCACTGCCCTCTGCCTGCCATGCCATGGACTGTTTCTCCTCTGCAATGCCCCTCTGCCATGCCACTCTGGCTTGGAGCCAGCCAACTATGGGCTGAGACCTCTACAGACTATAAGCCGAAATGAACCTTTCCTCCTTTAACTGTGGGTGTCATGAATTTTGTCTCAGCAATGAGAAAAGTAACTAAGACAACAAGAGATCAGTCAGGAAGGAGATCTCTATGCTTCGTTCTCTTGTGGGAAAACAAGTAGTTAAAATGATGAGTGTGATGTGTGTGCTCTCTTATGGCTGATTTAAAGACAGCAGTCAAAATGTGATTTGGAAACCTTATATGGAATATACCCGACTTTACGAAATGTGGCCTCTTCTTAATATATCTATTCTCCTGGTTAAGAGGTCTTACGTCGGAAAGAGTTTATAAGGACAAAAGTCAGAATAAAACAAAGCTTATTTTATTAGAAAGATGGGAATGAGAATGGAGATTTCACAGAGGCCATAATCACTCTGTGATGAGCCCATGCTAATAACCATGGCGATGAGAATGTGTCACACGCTCACCCTCTGTAGCACACACATGTTGATTGTGCTTTTGTGCCACTTATGAAGTTGGCACTGAATTGTATTGTGTTTGCTTCTATGAAAAACAATTTTCTAACTGATTTTCCATTTTATTTACAAATTCACTGAAGAAAGAATTTTGAATGTTGTGGTAGAGACAAACAATTTATCTGGTACATACTGAAAGATTTTTAAAAATACCCCATCAGTACCTTAGGGGGTGAGGGAAAGAGATTGTGCTCTGAGGTCAGAGCCACTTATTGGCTGTGTGACTGTCAGTGAGTACTCTCAGGCTCTGATCTCAACTCAGTCTCCTCTCTAAGGAACTGGGAACTGAAACCTTTCTTGGGGGCCCTCCCTGAAGTCACAGGCAAGAGTAACGGTAACAATAGCCAGTATTTATTGTACGTGGCTTGTGCACCAGCTGCGTGTCCACTGGCCACAGTGCCTCTGATCATGACCACACCTCGAGGGCAGCCCAGGGCTTCCAGCCTTGATGCTCACATGGCCCGACAGCCAGGTAAGCAGCAGAGCTGCGACTCAAACCCATCACTCTGCACAGCACTCCTGTCATGGAGAACGTGGTGCAAGACAAGTCACAGCCCTTTCTGTTACCGTCACTCCGGGTCCAGCTACATTACATTACCGAGATTAGCTGCATCAGAGGGGCGTTGTTGGGGTCATTGGGGTCCAGCTTGGACTCGGCCACCCACTTGGCCAGCTTCTTCATGTCTGTCAGCCCTGATGTGCCAATTGATGAGATGGCATCTGCTCTCTTCAAAGCACTGGAACCAAGAACAAGGAAAAACAGCAGCTGTTAGATTCTACAGGGCTTGCTTCATCACACTGTAGTCTGCTGCAGGATCAAGAGGCCCAGGGGGCGGCCTAAAGAAGCTGCTATCCTCCATGAGAGAAAATCCCATCATAGGCACGCCTGACTTGCTCAGTGATTGCCGTTAAATGCGTTACAGGGTGATGAAGAAATGCGAATGGAAGCAGGGCAGAGGTGACCCGGCCCACGACCTGACCCAGAGCCCAGCCCAGTGCAGTGAGGTGCTCCGGGCCAGGGAGCCGCTGTGTGTGGTCCAGAAGGCCTGACCGCCTCACCTGGGGACACGGGCCGAGAACAAAGGGAAGGCCAGCTTTACCTAAGCACGGGCTCTAGACAGGGACCCAAAGGGGGTGAGCCTGTCAGAGCTGGAGCATCACCAGCAGCTCATCCTCTCACTCAAGTCCCCGCCTCCACCCTGGAGCCTGAGGCTTTGACTCCCTGAGCCCTGGAGGTTTCTCTGGGGCAAGCCTAAGAGCAGTGGCTGCAGAAGGCCTCTGCCCCGCCCCGTCCTCGTCCTCGCTGAAGCGACTCCTGACTCGGCCCCAGCTGCAGCTCCTAGTGGTTTTCTTGTCACACAGAGACCGAGGTTGCAATGGGGGTGCAGAGGGCCTGCAGGCACAAGACGAGCCCTTTCCAAGCACTGAAAATGAAGTCTGCGGCTTGGAAAGTGTATTCTCCAGGACCAGGAGGAGCCCTGGACTTCAGAGAGGAGGCCGCGGAGGCCTGGAGGAGATGGCACTCAGGCGAGACTGGGGAGCCGCCTCTCCTGGGGTGAGGGCCGAGGGCCTCTGCACCGCCTCGCCTGGGCAGGAGGGAGAGCGCCTCACGGCTCCCTGCAGCCTCACCAAATGCTCTTCCTGTACCCGTGTCCCCACCTCTAACATGGATAAACATCTACTATTAACTAGGCGATTGCTATTTTAATTTTGCCCTGAAAACAACACCCGGAATACACTAGCAGCTGACAACGGCAGGCAGCGGGAGAATGTGCTTCTGCAAGCTCCCCACCCCGCTCTGCAGGGCCAAGCCGGCCTGGCCCTCCGCCCACCTGGTTACCTCCGAAATCCCGCGTTCTGCTGCGACACGGGGGGAATCAGCGGGACCCCGTTGTCTCCCACGGCCCACGCCACACTGTGGGACACTTTCCCGGAGGTCATGAGAGTCAGCTGGTTGCTGCCGTCCGCTTCGAAGGAGAAGGGCACGCCTAGGGACACGGGGCGGAGAGGTCACTGTCTCGGAGGAGGAGGAGGAGGCCGGGCGGTCGCGGGTTCCTTCTGGTGGCCGCGCACCGCACTGGCTCCCAGCCTCTCCGGCAGCAGACTGCACCTGTCATCAGGACGCCGGCTGCAGGGACCGCCTGAGCTATTCAGGCTCTCCTCACAGCGGTGACTTTGCCCAGTGACTTGCCTTCTCGGAGCCCTAACTCACTTACCTGAAAATAAGGGGGAATAGCAGCATCCCTTTCGAAGAATCATTTCAAAGATACTTATTTGTTCATTCACTCAAGATACCTGTTAGAGCCTCCACTTCAGGCCAGGTACTATTATAGGCATTGAAGGTAGCAGTAAAGTAATAAAACTGATAAAGATCTTTATTCTAAAGAAACAAAATCTCCTTTTTGTGGAGTTCATATTTGAGTGGGGGAGCAAGGAATATGTAGATAAATAAGAGAAAGTCGAGTTGGGTAGGGTTACAATATTTGCAATCCCGGCAATGGGGAAGCTGGGACAGGAGGATGCCCAAAAGCTTGAGGCCAGCTTGGGCTACATAGTGGGGCCTTGTCTCAAAAGAAATAAAAATATTTAAATAAATAAACAAATTTAATAATTAATAATATAATTTAATATATATAAATATATATATGGAGAGAGAGAGAAATCTTTAGCATGCCAGGGAGTAATAAGGTGAAACAGATTGGGGAAGGTTTATAAAAATTTGGTGCTGTGGGGGCTGAGGGTGTCATGAACTTTCAGGTAGGGTGAGCAAGACAGCCTGGATGAGGAGACTTTTGAATTTGTGGTTGAAGTGCATTAGGAAGTGAGATGTAGATGTGGGAGTATGCATTCCTGGTGGAAGGAGCGTGTGCCCGGGCCCTGGGGCAGGAGTTCATTGAATGACTGTGTGTGAAGTACTACAGGCATGGCAAACAGTGAGCACACAATAAATGTTCATTATTTCTAAGCTATTAGGGTCACTGACTAAGCCTCCACCAGTTGGAAATGAATGATAAAAACTTCCTGGGCAAATAAAGGAAAAAAGATTTCCAAGTTCTAAATACAGCAGTGACACAGTCTGGATTTCCAGTTACCACCACAAAACACAAAACTACCACTATTCCACTCCAATGATATTTTTGTTTTTCAAATCTTTCCTTCATTTTGAACATCCCATTTTTATCTCCAAAAAACTCCTATGAAGCCTTAAAGGAGGTACCATGAGATCTACTTAATGAACAAAGAAGTTAATATTTAAAGAGGTTACATAATTATCCGACTACTTGATCACACTGCTTGTGTGTCTACATATTTTATACCGGCGACTGGATTTGGCCCTTAGACAATTCTTGCAGAAGAGGTTCCAGGAACGAATTAAAAAATTAAAATCACCAGAAACATGAGAAATCAAGACACCCAACTAAGAGGAGGCAGAATCAGACCAATATCCAGACAGGTATTGAAATTATCAGATATAGAATATTAAAAAGTATTTTAATATATTAAAATAAAATGAATGAATGAAAAAGAAATGATTGAAATTCCAAAGAAAGGACAAAAAAGCAGTGAGAACTGACCAGACTGATTAGAAAAGAACTACACAGAATGTCTAGCATTGAAAAATACAAGTGGAAAAAGAAAATGATGATAAATTCCAATGATTAGACATTACTGAAGAGTAAATTCGTGAAGGTTTGAAGAAATTACATAAAATGTAGCGGTGAAATAAAATGATATCAAATATATTAAAGAAAGGTTAAGAAACTTAGGGAAGCACAGTGGCCATACACACCTATAATCTCAGCACTCTTGGGAGGCTGAGAAAGGCGGATCTCAAGTTTAAACCCAGTCTAGATAACTCAACAACTCAGTGAGAATCTGGCTCAAAACCAAAAAATAAATACATAAATAAAAAGGGTTAAGAATGTAGTTCAGTGTGGAGGCCCTGAGTTCAATCCCACTAAAAATAAATAAATAAATAAGAAAAGGAGAAAATGAGACATGGAGGATGCAGTGAGGGTCCATTATATATCTTATTAGAATTGAAGAAGAGGGTAAGACAGAATAGTAATGAACAATCTCTATAATAATTAAAATTATTACTTCAGCCGTATAAGTATCACTCTGATGTATACTTTTATGCCCAAAGCTTTTATCTTGGTTTTACATTATTTCCTTATACAAGATGCCCCAAAGTAGAATTAAGGTACCAAAGGGTATTTTAAAGGTCCTTAATTCATTCTACCAAACTCCTTCATAGTTACATAGTTATATGCATTTACACGGCCAATAACAGTTTATAAAAATGGCTTGGCAAAATAATCATATCATTGCTGTTTGAATTTGATAGAACTTTTATAATTATGTGGTTGTCTGAAAAGTGAAAAAAAGATATTCAGTGAAACCATGAGTCACTGAGGATAATTAGCTTTTCTTACCACTTCCAACTCCCTCGTGGTCCAGGGTCACGTGCTGGTTACTGCTGAACTCCACTTCCTCAGTGGGAGCCCTTCCGGTGACAACGGTAGTCTCAGGGATAGGCAGGAACACTTCTGCTAGCAAGGTAGTACTGCTGTGTCCAACTGTTTCATAGACCTGAAACCGAGAAGAGAAACAGCCACGGATGGTGCTCATTCTCAGCTAATTGGTCCACACTGTTAGCGTTTCTCCCGACCCTCAGGGTCATCCCAGAGCGGAAAGCTGAGTCATGTTCCTGTGGTCCCAGGAGACCGGTTTATATTACTCCAAGTGGCCAAGTTGTTGACATCCTGTTTTCTTGCCTGGCCTAATCTCCGTGGCAGGGAGGTCAATCAGAGTTGCAGGCTACTGCAGTTGTTTCTGTTCTAGATCAACACACAGGTTACTTCGGGGAATGGGTGTCCTTTGTCCTGGTTGCTTTCACAGAACAATGCTAACAGGTGAGTGGATGAGACCATAAGGACATGGTCTATCAGTCATCTGGGCCCACCTTGAAACCTGTCAGAGATGTCTCACACCCAGAAGCACTGCAGTGTCATGTTTACATCTATTTTATAAGTTTCTCAAATTCGTCACATCCACACCTCATTTTCTTTGTCAGATACGGAAGCCCCACCTGGTTGCTTCTCAGACCTCCCAAGATGGTGCCATGAGGGTGAGCTATTAATGAAGTACCAAGACCGGAAGCATAATTTGACTTACACTTAACCGTTTAAAATATTCTCCTTTTGTGAAAGCAAAAATAAAACCATGAAATTATTATTACTTGCCTGCATTTGGAATTTTAATTAGATCTTTCCTAACCTAGAATCTTTGTTACTCTTGGGTTATAGAATTTCAAGTCAATCTTAACACCTAAGGCAGCAGAATCAGGGTTTGAAGCCCGTTCCAAAATAACACATCGAAATGTTTTTGAAAGACCTTATATCTCCTGTCATAAGATAATCAAGTGTTAGTTTACTCAGCTGTGCAGGACAGTTTCTGTATTATGTGACTCCAGTGGCTTTGCAAATGCACCTGCGTTAGACTTGAAGAGTTCACCAAATATTTTATTGCAGGACTCGAGTTGTTACTGAACTTCAGTTTTGTGTTTATTCCTCCTGGTGTGGCCTCTGCTGGTCACCACACTTCATGGTGCCCAATAGAACACACACTGACACACATCATGCCAAGGGCATTTCTGGTGGACAGTGGAGAAAAAGTCCTTGTTCCTGGTCCCTGGGGGCATTTTCCCATTTAGTGCCAGAGACAACTGAGTGGGGTCTCTTGGTGCTGGGTCCCTAGGACAGGGGCAATTATAGACCCCAGGGGAATTAAAGGCATGCTAATTGGCACCACTGCTCGGAAGCTAATTATTCCCTTTTTAAGAAAGAAAAACGGATTCCACTTAACAAGCTTAAAAACAGCCAAGTTCCCCAGACTTCTCACCCTCCTCTTTGAAAGTAGCAGCAATTTTGTTTAGTGCCCCTACCCATTAGAGATACCAGTAGCTGCCCACCAGTTATGAGACTAAAACATGGTCCCAGGCATTTTCACGTGTCCCCCAAGGGGCAAAATTAACCCTGACTGAGAAGCACCGCCGTGAGCAACCTGAGTGTGTGTTTGAAGGTGGAATGTTAATGAACTAACAAGACAGTATAAAGAATTTGATTTACATTCAACTGTTCAAAAATTCTGCCACTGTGGAAGCAAAGTTGAGGGTATTTAAGAGATTATTATTACTCTCTAGGACTCCCTGGCTACTGTTCTCCCAAGCCCGGTTAGGAAGCACTGAGCGCTATGGCTAAAAATACTTGCAATGCCGGGCGTGGTGGTGTACACCTGGAATCCCAGCACTTGGGAGGCTGAGGCAGGAGGATCACCTCATGTTCGAGGCCAGTCTGGGCTACATAATGAATTCAGGGCCTGCCTGAACTACAAAGGGAGACCCTGTCTCAAAAAAACAAACAAACAAAGAAAACACTTGCAATGAAGCCAAACATCACAGCCAACTCTGTTCCCCTCAATGGTCCTTACCCTCGTGCATTGTTTCTCCATCTTCTCTCTTATCCCTGAGCGGGACTGAAACCCCCCTGGCAGGGCCCTGGGCACCTGTTTGTACTGAGCCTTCTGACTCGCCACAGCTCTCCTGGCTCCCGGGGAGACACCCAGAGGGCTCCGAGCCAAGCAGCAGACATCCATGACTCGGTTGCTGGGTCACCAACTGATGCAGTATAGTATTGAGAAAGAATCCCAGACCTTTTCCTGAAATACACTAGGCTGCAAAGCCAAGAATTGGATACTTTGGATAATACTGGCATGAAAAGATGCTTTCCAGGTCCTTCTCAAGGTCGAGCTGAGCAACATCCCCAGCCCTTTCTCCATTTTCCTAGAGCTGCTAGTAATTCCTTAATTTTTTTCCTTGTTCAAAACTAGCAAGTCTATGGAAAATTTCCAAATAGCATAGAACTAGTCCTAATTTCCAAATAGCACAAAACTAGTCCTTAAGATAGGAAGCACAACATCCTACAAATTAGTTTCATCTATAGCCGCTATGCAATCATAAAAAAATTATGCCATCATTATATGTGGTTTGATTCATTATTAAATCCCTTTAGACAGCTGAAGAACTTAGCCAGAATTAATTTGTAATTTAAAAAATTTACACGGTTCCGTTCTTAGGTCCAAGCTAACTGCCTGTTAACATACTCAAGGTAGTAAGGAGAAAATTTTGCTCTTTTGGTTTAAAAAAATTCACTATATAGTATTTCAGAGAATTATCCTTTTCACATTTTTTTAAAAAAGTATTTTGATTGTAACATCCATAGCAAGCAAATATTCAAGATGGTAAAAGCGACAGCACTGGCTTTGTTTACGTTTAGAACGCTGTGAAGCAGATAGCGTTGTGCTGGAGGGAGGCGGCGACCTTCTCTCCAAAGAGGGCTTCACTCTGGCTCGCCCCTCAGCAGGGGGCGCTGGACACCTGTGGGAGGGGATTCCCTCTCCTGTCTCCTGTCCCCTGGCTGAGGCTCCTCTCCTTCGCATCTGCCACGCCACTGTTGGCTGCTCTGGGTGGCGGCCGGACAGCCCTCTGCTCTTCCGGGTAAGCCTTGCTCCTCCTCGCCCGGCTCTTCCTCTGCGCCAGAGGAACCACCGGGAGATGCGTCCACCGCAAGTCTCAACTAGGATGCAAAACTCTGAATTTCAAATCTTATATTTTGCTTTACTGGGGATTGAACGCAGCGCCTTCACACTGAGTGACATCCTCTGGCCTTTCTCCATTTTAAAATTCCGAGACAGGGTCTCTCTGAGTTGCTAACTTGTTTCCACCCTCCCGCTTCAGCCTCTCAGAGAGCTGGGATGACAGGCGTGCACTGAAAGCTCCGCTTCTCTGTGAACCACAACAGGAGAGCTCACCTGTGGGCGTGTATTCCAGGGGCACGTGACAGAAAGACATCTCCTGTTTATTTACTTTGTTGCTCAAGCCTTACTTTTTTTTTTTTTGGTACTGGGGATGGAACTCTGATCCTTACACTTGCGAGACAGGCAGCAGAACCACTGAGCTAAATCCCTGGCCCTCAAGCCTTACTTTTAACCCAGGCCATCGTGTGTGTGTTTAAGTCTCACTTGAATCTTCAGTGTAAGCACATAGGTTCGGGTGTGGCGAGGACGGTTCCCGCGGGAGCAGCAAGACGTGATCCCGAACCCCACAGCACCGCCTGAAGGACACTGTGCCTGGGCCCCCCAAGAAGGGCTGCACCCTACTAAGTGCCTACTGGTGCCTGTAAAGTCCACTACATTCGGTCTGAAATTGGATTGTGTCTTTCGATCCATGGTGCCTCACAGCGTAGAGCTGAGAGGTGATTAGCTGAGACCCAGCAAGCAGGATGACAGCGTGGTTGGGACGTTGCTTTGCTAAGAAGACAGAAGAGGAGTCCTTCAAGTACCCCAGGCCATCAGCCTCAGCAGGAGCCCCAGAGCAGACAAAGGGAGGTCTGTGGACCTCAGATCTGAGGGGAGGTAGTATAGAGAGCACTCAGGGCCCCTAACTCCCACCCCTTTGGTCTAAGGCCTGCTACATGGAGGTAGAGACACAGGAGCCTTCTTCACTTGGAGCTCACTGAAGGTTCATGCATGTGGACTGCATCTGACACATTCAACTATAGGAGAGTGAATTATGGGAAGGGCCATGTGCCATAGATACAGGCGACGTGACTCAGCACCCTGTCAATCATCATGTCAGTCATGCTCTGGAAGTCCCAGGGAGACCTGAGACCTGATGTGCAGCATTTCACTGAATTCTTAAATCCAGCACCCTAAGCCTCCTGCCTTTTTCCTTTGTGCCAGCAAAGCCCCGCTTGCTCTGAGCACACTGTCACCTAAATTACACTCTGCTGCTTTTTCCTTGCTGTGTTCACATCCAGGTCTTTGTTTATCTCGCACAAGAACCTGGAAACCCACCCGGGACCCCACCACCCATGCTAACACAGGGACACTGGTACCAGCTGTGCCCAGCAACCACCTATCGGGAGACCACCTGGCTCCCCTTCCCAGGAGCCGGGGCTCTCCGTTCTCCGCTGCAGACAAAGTCACCTCATGTCACTCCCTGCATCCATTCAGAGTCATGAGTCAAGGGCACGCGAAGTCCAAATTTATAAGGAGATCATTTTCCCACAGGTGATACCCAGAAAGGAAATTTTCAGGCTTAGGTTTTCACCAAAACTTCCATATTCAATCCCACCTCCAGCAGTAAATTTTACTTTGAAAAATGTACCTGTTCTCTCACCCATATGAAGTTTAAGTGAGCAAGAGTAAGTTTAATTTTTGCCAAGTTCCAGGATCCCTGGACCTTTTTGTTTTAAGTAGAAGCATCTTAAATGTTTGTTACGAGTGACCGGCCCAAGCCAAAGCCTAGAGTTTCAGGAGCAATGCCCGTGCAGATATCAATGCGATCCTCGAGACAATGGCTTCAAGCGACCTGGCCAGAGTCAGTGCTCAGTGCTTTGTAAACGCGGGACACCACCTGCCATGGCCACCTCCAGGTTACAGGTGCAGAGGTGTGGAACCAAATTGCCTGGGCTCTGGAAAGCCCCGAGCCGAAGGGTTGCCCATAGGTGCGCAGTGTCACCCTGTAAGCTCTCCTTTCACTTCTTGCCCTCCCCCCATTCCAAGTCTTTCTACCTTGCTCCTTTCCCACTGCCAAAAGAATCTCCATCTCATCTTCTCCTCATTTTAGAAGGGTTTAGCATTTCAGTTGACATTCAACGCACATGTGTGGCCCTACCCAGTTGGAAATTTGTCACACAGTTTGGGAATAAGGTCTTGGGGGTGGAACAGTTAGAGGGACAGCGAGTCCCTTTAACTGGTCAATTATGGAAGGTTCCAAGGTCTTGGAAGTGGGGCTATTGGCCAAGATAGTATTCTACGGGCAGCAGCTGGTTACCGTTCAGTACAGGGGTCTATGTTAATACACTGTAAGGTCAATTATAATCCATACATTTAAGGCCAGTTATAATCAATACATAGTGGCCACATGCAGAACCGTGTTGGGATGATTCTAGTTATATCCAGGTTCAGTTGGTGGGGGGAAGGGCATGGCCAATCGGTTATTTCTGGCAATGACTGCAGGGGTGGGGTGGATGGGAATGAAGAATTTCTGTATATGTGATGGAGAAGATCGGTGATTTCTGCCTGGGTGGTGGATGGGATATAAGGGTCTGTGTACCTCCGATTTGCAGCCCTAGTTAACAAGCCTATTAGAATCACAAGAGAGAACTCTGCTGGTGTCCTAAGAGAAGATTCACAAAAGGGATAGACGACCCTTAAGTCACCATGGTGGTTTCAGTGCATCCTCCAAAAACTGACATCCACTCAAATCCTCAGAATGAGGTCTGATTTAGAAATGGAGCTCCTTTCCTTAGGTGTAATTCATTTAGGATCCAGACGAGATGAGGGTGGCCCCTAAAACCAATGAGAATGTTCGTGGATAAAAAGGACACAGAGAGGACCCTATGAAGACAAGAGATAGATCGGAGCAACACTACCACAGACTGAGGGACTCTGATAGCTGCTGGAAGCTGGAGAGCCAAGGAAGGATCCTCCTCGAGAGCTTCTGGAGGGAACACAGCCCTCTGATACCTTGCTTTCAGACTCAGGGCCTGCAGAACTGTGAACGAATACGTCTGTGTTATTAGGGCCATCAAGTTGTGGAGTTTAATTTTGTCAGCCCGAGGAAACTGACACAGACAAAAATATATTGCTAATGAGGAGACCGAGGCTAGAGTGGGGAGATTTATTAATCTGGGGAATCCTAGAACCTGTACGCCACACCCATGTAAGTGCTTGTGATGGTGGTGTAACTGGTTTCTTTGTTATGCTGTGCTAGGGTTCTGGTACATGGTGAAGCGTTTTCACAGTGAATGAATAGAGATCTCCCTGCCTACCACCTTCTTTCAGCCATGCACCCCTGTTCCCAAGCAAACACTTGAGCACTGTGGCCAGCTATTCTGCCAGCCGCTCATACCTTCAAAGACCACACAGTTCTTGGGATGGGGATTATGATTAAAATGTGTACCTGAAGAGTTAAACTCTCCGGCCAGTTGAATATCTGCAGATTGAAAATCTGTCCAAAGTGAACACGGAAGTCTGCCCCCAGTTGCCGACTGACCGTCCTGGATACCTCCTTGCTGTTGAAGAGCACCTTTAAATACACTGAGCGCCGCTTCACATCTTCCCTTCGCAAGACCTCCACCCTGCAAAGTGAGACCATTGTAGCTGGGATTAGTATTAATTTAGTAAGGATCCCTGGGGTATTTGACAGAGGGACACAAGGATAACAAGAGACCCTAGAGGCAACTCCTTCAGTCATGTTAGCTCCCATTTAACCAAAATAGCTACAAGTCTTGCAGAGTTTACTACAGTAAAATATTGTGGTATGGAATTTAAAGAAAAGCCCCTGCAAAAGGCAGAGAGGACTTAAGAGCTATGATTTAAGCATCACTGTACTGCAATCTTCTTAAATTGTTCAAATGAGTCTTACATTTGCATCCAAAACAAAATTTTAACATTCTTTGTTAAGTACAATTAAATTCAGACCATAAGGGACAGTAATGGTTAATATTTGGCTAGTACATTTTATTCTAAACACATAGTAGAATATCATAGCTGTTAGATCAGGTCTATTTCTCCAATACCCAAGCTTTTTCTCAACATTTTCGGAGAGTGAGTGACTGCTCAATGGATGTAAAGTATTAAGACATGTTTCTTATTTGTAAAAATCATTCTAATCACAATAAGATGTATCCTGGTGCCTTGTAAGAATGAAAGCATAGTAGTCTAATAGCCAGAAACTTAAAAAAATAAATTCAGTATCTCCAAGAGTGGTCTTCAATCTTTTTTTTATTTTTGGTACTGGGGATCGAACTCCAGACCTTGCGCTTGCGAGGCAGGCAGCGGAACCACTGAGCTAAATCCCTGGCCCGGTCTTCAATCTTACGGCCTGTGTTTGCAGAGACAACCACCAAAAAGCTGCAGGTTCCTGGTTACGTCAATAGCAGTTCAAGTTTACAGTGCATTGAAATCTAAACCTAACTCAGGTTTTCTGAGTGATGGCTTATGAATTAATTTTACAGTATGGTAAAATATATAACACCTAACAATTATCATTTTAGCCATTTTCAGCGACCATGTCAGTGGTGTTCCGTACATCCACAATGTTGTGCAAACACCACAACTATCTCTAGAACTTTGTCATCACCCCAAACAGAAATTCTCCACTCACTACATTATGTGGTTGGAATTTATATGAGAAAATGAAAAAATGGAAACAAAGTCTATGTAAATAGGGAGGGATGGAGGGGTCGAAGGGAGGGCAGGGGAAGGGGGAAAGAATAACCAAGATTGATTATGTAAAGGTGCAAATTCCCAATGACGAATGTCACTATACTGTATACCTATAATGTGCCAATAAAATTAAGTTAAAAAAATAAATTAGGTAGTAGCTTTAACTTTTTACATCTCTATAATTTAGGCATCTCGAGATACAAAATTGCTCAAACAATAGCATTTCCCCTCCTATGAACAACATTTAACACCAAACTGCAAGAAGCATCAAGACATAAATTGGCTTCCGACCAAGGGTGTGTCTGGGGGGGTCACAGAGGCATAGCCCTGGGGTCCATGTCTGGCCCTTTGTCCTTTCTTTACTGCTGTTCCCCACCACCAAGAACTAAGCATCTTTTCTCTAGAACTGCTGTTCCCAGTAACCTCATGCAACAGACAGGCCTAATGCCGCCCCAACTTTTCTTCATTTCTTCATGGTCCGGCTAACGTGGTGGCCTGATGAAGGGGAGATTATGGTCCTTGGTTTGGGGGTAATCTGGGTGGTACTCCCAACTCCCAGTGAAAACTCAGAAATGGATTAAGACTGAGGTGTACACTTTCAGTCAAAATAGGACTCACATAAAAGATCACTAACTTGAGCCCAAGTTCTCCCTTTAAAAATATGCTCTGTTACATATTTTGAATATTCATGACAAATTTATATGATATTTGTGTTTTGAAAATAGTTTGGGGGGGGTCAAAGAATAGCTTATTTATGTGTAGCATCAGCAAAGTTGTGAGAACACATAAAAATGCAGAAGTTACAATTAAAAAGAAATCATTATAGGGGCCGGGGATTTAGCTCAGTGGTTCTGGTGCCTGTCTCGCAAGTGCAAGGTCCTGAGTTTGATCACCGGTACGCCCCGCCCCCTAAAAATGAAATCATTATAACATTCACAGAAGTTTGAAACCAGGAAGGCCATAGGAAGCCTTACAATGACATCCTAATTAATCGCGGCATCAAAATGAGCAGGAAGATGACTCACTCAATTTGAAGTCTTCCTTTTTTGGGGAATGTTAAAGAGTCCAGTCTAAGATACCCTCGTCTTTATGACAGGACTTACATTTGTTGAAGAATTAAGCCTCATTCATACTGGTGGTATTGATGATTTCAATAGATTCCCTTTAATTGATTACAACATGCTGTAACAGGTATCAGAATCACCTGTGAACCTACCTTGCAGGACTGTGATTTTGTAAGTACCACCCAGAGTTTAAGTTCAATGGGTCTCAGATAAAACCTGGGTATTTGCATCTACTAAGGTTCTCAAGTGATGTTAATGTTGCTCATCCACCTTGGAGCAACACTTTGAGAACTGTGGCTGTTAGGGTGGAGTGACAAACTTGACTGGCTTTTCAATGGTGGAACACATTTCTGGGTGTGTCTTTGGAGGGTTCTAGAGCCATGGCCTTGGGGTCTATGTCTGGCCCTTTGCCACTTCTTTTCTCTACCAGGACTTTCCTCCATGTTGTCTTTACCTTGGAGCCTGCCAACCATGGACTGACTCTCCTGAAACCGTGAACCAAATTAAACCTCTCCTCATTTATATTGTTGGTGTCAGGTATTGTGTCCAGTAATGGGAAAGCTAATACATAGGTATAGAATATTTAAACAATATTTTAATTATAATTTTTTAAAGAATATGGGCACATAACATATGTTTATGAATTTATTATTTGTGTAGATATATAAAAGTGCTGCTTCTCTCAGGCATCACATAAGAATGACTAGAAATGTATTTTTATCAATCCAGGGAGTCTGCTCCAGATGGCTTGACAAATACAGCTAGAGGGCATTCCCACAACTTCCTTTGGGAGGTTTGGGGAGTCCTTCAAAGACAGAAGCTGGCCTCTGGTGCAGCTGAAATTGAGGTGCAGGACAGAGTCTCTGTGTCTGTACCAGGGAGAAGGGACATGGTACCAGTGGACAGAAAAAGTATTATAAATAGGTAAGTTAATTAGATATCTCGTTGGCAGGTAGACAGGGCCTCCCTGAAGGCGCCAGCCCAGGAGGAGCCAACCTGGAGGACAGTGAAGACACATTCACTGAAGGCCAAAATTGTAAAAGAAGAGAAACTACCACACCCATGTAGGATGAATAGCAGTGATTGATATTCTAAGGAGGTATCCATCCCCTGAGTAGGGAGTCAGGGTCTTAACCCAGCCTCTCCAGGAAATATCCCTGACCTACCCTTACTGAAAATCCTTGTATGCTTGCTAAGTGACTTGATCCCCCATTTGATCCCCATTTAATCAATATTACCTGGGTGACTGTACTTGTAATCTTAGTGGTTGGTCATGGTCTTGCCTCACCTCATGCCCACCTTGTAAATTTCCATTGGGTCTTACAGTTTTGTCCCATTTTGTACCCACCTCACCACATGGCTTTGCTGTATAAAACATCTTTGAAAAGTGGGGTGAGTGGGCAACCCACTTTCTGGTCCCCCTTCTGTCTTTCTTAGGCAGAAGTTTTCTTTCTCCCAATAAATGTTTCCTATTCTTAACCTCCACTGTTCCTAGAATTCATTCTTCAATTTTAGAAAACATGACCTGTGTTTTGGATATCTAGTAGGTTTGGGAGTTACATCTCTTCCCCCTATATCAAAATCCCGCTGAAGTTACAGATAAGGGACCCAACCCAAGGCCACCTAGAGAGCTGCTGGGGAGAGCAGGGAGAGGTCTGTGACTGGGTTGCTCTATGTGGCAGGCTCTTGAGTGGCCAGAAGGGATGAATCTGTGGGTGAATCTTTTGAAATCACCAAACATAAGCAAATATCACCCGTCTGCTATGGTTCAACTTACATTCACAGATGGTTAATGATGTGTGGCTCAGGAGATGTGTACTTCCTGTCGTGTGCAAGTGTATGTATGGGTGTGCAGGTGAGTGTGGGCTCCTGTGGGAGTCAGCCCTGCACGCCCAGAGCATCTGCTCACCTGGGACACTGGTCATTGGGTGTCACGCTCCCCGCCAGGCTCAGCTCCGGGAGTAGCACAGGCTCGCTCGGCCGCCTCCTGCTATGGGCTGCTCGCTCCCTCACCTGCTGCTCTAGGGCCACCTGGTCTGGGAGTTCTGGGGGGACCGGCTTTGCGGGCTCCTCCCCAGGATAGGACTCCTCCTCAGCCTGTCCCTCGGGATGCTCTTCTGCTTGTTTCTTTTTTTTCTTCTTGACCTTCTGTTGGGGAAGAGACAACTTGACATCAAACAGGAGTCTGGGAATTTCATCTGCAAGCAGGAACGTGGTCTTCAGAGCTGGACGGAGCTGGATGGGAGCCCAGCCCACCTCCAGTAGCTCGCTGGGCAGGTTCCCCACCACAGGGCCTCTCTCGGTCTCAGGTCTCCCAACCCCACGGGGACGCAGCACGGGAAACTCCTTCTGGCGCTACAGAAATGAAGTCCTGCACGCACTTATCCTGGAAAGGTGGGTAACTCTGAAATAATCAAGTCAGCTTTCAGAGGTTAAGGATTCCCCTGCTAAAACCATGTGGCTCCTGAAAAATACTTGCTATTCACGGGGTCACTAATGTTCATTCTCAAGGCCGAGGACACAGCTTGAAATGAAAGGCTTGAGACCACAGTGGGCATGGCAGGTCACCCTGGTCTATTACTTACTGCCCCGGGATTTGGTTTTGCAGTCATATGTAAAGAGCGGCATAATTTTCCAAGGGAAATAGAGGCATGAATACTGTACACTCATGCAAAATACAGAGCACTGTGCTGGACACATGTGTTAGTGATTGCTGTGTTCACTCAAATACTCACAGGGTGCTACCGCTGAGCTAGACATGGCATGGCTAGCGGAGTGGCTTTCTGAGCAATCTGCTCATGCTTTTGTGTGCTAGTGAGCGGTCAGGGAGAGAGACAGGGAGGAGCCAGCAGGAGAGCCCAGCCTGTGGGTCCAGCTTCCCTCCTCTGTCGCAGAGGCTGCTGTCCCACACTCTCCCCCCAGCCCTGGTCCAGCCTGGGGAAGGGCTTACGAACCTGGGCTTTTTTCCAAGCTCTCCATTGCTGGTATGAAGCTCTGTACGCTTCCATCTTCTGTTCGTACTCTTCTGTGTGCTCTTCCATCAACTCGCTTATTTCAGCTTGAATTTCTGCTTCATATGCTTCTTCATCTGCTTTCTGGTCAACTTTTTCCCTTTAAATTAATTCACAGTTTTCTTGGTTATTTCTTGGAATTAAGTAAGAGAATGAGGGAGTGAGAAATAATTCCAGAGAGCATTAATTATAACAAATACATATTTTGGGCTTTTATCTTCTAGTTCCTCTTCTAACTGTGTTGTACAGCTGGATGTACCACATGGTTATAATCCTATCACTCTGGAGGCTGAGTTCAAGCCCAGCCTGGGCAATTTAGTGACTTAGAAAGGCACTGTCTCAAAATAAACCATTTTAGAAAGTGCTGGGGATAACCTGCTGCTTTGGGTTAGACGAGCCATGCTGGGTGCTGACACAGTGCCTAGAAGTCTACACGGGCAGAAGTTTCACTGTGTTGTTTCATCAGTTCCTTCGAATCTCCAAGGAACCACTTCATCTGGTTGCTAGCAAGTCCCTGAAACTGCTCCTGGACATCAGATTGCTGATAGGAGATTGTCTCATGATTCTGTTGCTGTCTCTTCACCTGGACATCAGTCCAGCCAAAGCAGTATTTTCCACAGTGTGCAGTTCTGTGAGATGTCCTACCAAACAAAGGTGCTGTGGCCATACCAACTCTAGATTAAATAAACGCGAGACTCTCCTTGCTGTTCCTCTCTTCAGAGCCCTTTCCATGTTAATGAACAGTGGGACTTCCACTTGGGGTGTGGTAAACATATGGTTCCCGTATCCCACCTAGCACTTTGGAGTTGTGGTGCAATTTATTAATTGTGCTGTTTTTCCTCATGTGGTCTGGTTTCCAAGTTCCCCCCTCCTAAACCTCCTCTATGCCTTTTAAGTAAACTTAGTCAAAGGCCTAGAGCAGATAGATATTTGCTTAAGACCACGTGTGGCCTAGTGGTTTTGCAGTGATCTGTTCCCTGAAGCACAAGTTCTGCTAGGACTCTAAGACATCACCAGACACATCACATTAGAGGATGCACTGTGGTACCAGAAATTTATATACATTGGGAAATTTGCCTCCCCCCAAATTATGTTCCATCTCAGAGTTTAGTTTTCTCATTCTGATCCTGAAGCACGATGCTTGTTACTTCTAGGATAGAAAGGGTTGTTGGAGAGAGGGATTCCCAGGTACCTACAGTGTTCTCTTGCTTGGCTCATTTGTTATTACTGTCTACACTGCATCTATGTCTTAAACATTTTTCTGGATGTACGATATAGCCCGATACAATGATTTTTAAAAAGCCTACTTTCTCAGAACAAGTCTCAAGGATGTATTCGTAAACCTCTGGAACTCTCGAAGGGATTTTATCTCTTTCCACACTTTTATGATGGTCTTGAGCAGTGTTCGATCTTTTTCTTGTTCAGCATTGCGCATTTTTCTTGTTTCCCTACAAGATACAATAATGTACGAGTGCATATTAAGAAGTGATTTAGGCGTGTTTGTTTGCAAATAAAAGTAGAATCAATAATGCTATGTGATTACATATTCAATTAAATAGCTACACACATTTCTAAATAAGTACTAGAAGAAAACCAAATACCAATGCAAATTTAAAGAAAATAGGGTTTTTGAAAGGTTTATTTGATTTTATTTTCTCTAGCTAAATCTGACTTGAATTAAACTAAAATACCTTTTAAAATTCTCACTGTAATGATGTACTCTTAAACTAACAAGCTCTTTTGCAGTTAGGAAAAGACAGGATACCAAGCACCGAAAGCAGTTCTTATGGACTAAGTTTTTTAAACACTGCAGAGAATGCTGTCCTCTAAGTCTACAGCAGAATACTCATGCCTCATACTCAGTTCCATACTCAGGGGATGAAGTAATGTTCTTGCAGCCTTGGACAATTTCCAGGGCTAATTAGATGACCAATATTTTTGACTTGACCTGAAGAGGCATCAATTAAAAATGCTTTTGTCTTTATTTCCAATATTTCAAGTTTTTGGGAATTGTTTAATATCTTATTTTAAGCCCTCTTTATGAATGAAAGCTACACCCAGACCCCAAGATACTCCATGATGCCATGAGTGAATGAAATGACTATTTAATTTTTGAATAAGTGCCATGTCATCCCAGGCAATTCAGAAGTGTCTAGGAGAGAGAGAGAAGTGTCTCTGTCCTCAGGGACAGACACATAAATGATGGTGACACGCAGCGTGGGGCTGGCCAAAGAGATGCCACAAGGAACCAAGGAGGATCCATGGCAGAGATGAGCCCCTCCTGACCTCAGGAAGACCTGAGTCTGGAGCTGGCTTAGTCTTAGAGATGGGACAGAGAAGCAGCAGGTCTGGTTTCAAATTGTTCAGCTGGTGGCAGTGGCAAAGGAAGATGGCCAAAGAGAGTAGCAAGTATCCAAGATCCAGGACTCTCTGAAGTCCTCAGAGATGCAAGAAACAATGAAACAGAATAAGAGCACTCTACTGAGGGGCAGTAATGCCTTGTGGGTAAGTGTGAGTTGTTAGACCTCACTAGGTTGGATTTCTGGCTCTGTCATTTGCTAGGTGGCCTGGAATGGGCTACTTCCCTGGAGGAGTTCATGCAGGGTTTGTTGGGAGGAACACAGGAGTTAATACAGTCTGCTCAGAACCTTGCCTGGCATCTGCCAAATAGCCCACACATGTTATCTGTCATGATCAGGTGGCCCTTATACCTTTAGCTGGTACCTCCTGTGCCTTATTTTTAAAAAACTGTCATATAAAATGATTTCCTTGAGTTATATGGCTTTAGGCTTTCTGTTTTCTGACTCCTTTTTCAGTTCCTAACAAAATACATTTCCAGAAATACTAAAAAGAACTTTTAGCAAAAAAATATTAACCTTTGAGCTAAGGGAGCAAAGAATCATAAAAGAATATTTAATTAAGAATTATAGCCAGATCTGGGTGTGGTGGCACATGGCTGTAATTCCAGCACTCAGGAGGCTGAGGCAGGGGATCACTATGAGTTCAAGGCCAGCCTGGGATACATAGTGAGTTCGAGGCCAGCCTGAAGTACATAGGAGACCCTCTCTAAAAAAATAAAGGACTATGCCCAGGCCTGCAGAGGAGAAAAAGGCAATTTAAGTAGGGGGCTGGGAAACATTTTAGTGCAATTTGATGTTCATGGGGCCGGGAATGAGGAAGGAATGTCCAGCTTAGAAATGAAATGTTTATTGAGATGATTTCTAAAACTACCACAGGAATGGATTCATCTTAAGTAAAAATACAGATAAAAAAAGGTTAAAAAGAAGACAACAGATGCATGCCTGTAATCCCAATTCCTGGGAGGTTGAAGCAGGAAAATTACAAGTTTGAACCAGCCTGGGCAATTTAACAAGATCCTGACTCAAAATAAAACATCTGGGAAGTGTATATAAATAGATAATGTGAAATAGGAAGAAAAGGTCCAAAGAGGAAGGAGAAGGGGAAGTAGGAAGGATAGGGAAAAGGAAAGAAGGGAAAGGAGTAATTATGAGAAAAGGAAAAAACAGAAACAAAGTCTTTGTAAATAGAAAGGAGTGGAGGGGTTGAAGGGAGGGCAGGGGAATGGGGAAAAAAATAAGAACCAAGATGGATTATGTAACGGTACAAATTCCCAATGGTGAATGTCATCATATCTTATACCTAAAATGTACCAATAAACTTAATGAATTAAAAATAGATAGATAAATAAACAAATAAATACATCTGGGGATGTAGTTCAGTGGTAGAGTGCCCTGGGTTCTATCCCAGTACCAGGGATAAAAATAAAGAAAAACAAAACAATACCTGAGGAACACTGAAGATTTATGAACTGGGCAGGAGGGAGATTAGGAAAAAGACACCAAGAAGGTCAGGTGATTGCAGAAGCATAAAGAAATCAGGAGAGGGAGGAGAATGTCTCATCTGGGAACCTATGGTGACAGTGTCAGTGTCTTAAGCTGAGAGGGTTGCAGCAGGGTCTGCTCCAGAGGCCAGATGGGTGCAGCAGTAAGCCGGAAGGCGGGGGCCAGATACTGTGCACAGTGAATGTTTTGCCAAGTTTGGCCATGCAGGGAAATACTACGGCAGCTGGATGGGGGGATGAGGCAGCAGAACTGTGAGCACATCTGGCAAGAGAACACACAGTGGAGGACTCAGCAGAGGTGTAGGGCAGCAGCTCAGGGGGGCCAATCAGCAGATGGCGGGAGTGGCAGGAAATGGGTCCACTCAACAAGACATCAGGAAGAGACCACCTGCCTAGAAATTGCTTTCTCGCCCAGTGATAAATCAGTGAAAGGCTGAAATCCCTTCTTCTTCTGGATTATCATCAAGTTCTAAATCTCAGAGGTTTTCATCCTTAGGGACAGCAGAACAACTGTTGTGGGTCTGTGATGAATCCACTGGGCATGTTCTGTGGGTTTCATGCACAAGTATGCTGTTTTTCAAATAGTGCTTGATGAATATGATTCTCTATAAAACAATGATTGTTTTCAGAATAGCTGGATGTCACTGTTTTCTTGCCCCATGTGTGCTACATCAAAAACGATTCTCACATAAAGCCTGTAATATGTTTTCCTCTCAACATGAAAGGTGATTTTCAAACCAAGAGTGGTGGTGCATGTCTATGATGTCAGCACTCATGGAGACTGAGGAAGGAGGAGCACAACTTAGAGACTTTGCTAGACCCTGTCTCAAAAAACAAAAAAGGATGGTGATGTATCTGGAAGGCCCTGGGTTCAATTCCCAGGATGATAAGAAAAGCATTCATTTCGGGGGCTGAGATGTTGCTCGGTGGTAGAGCACTTGCCTTGCGTGTGAGGTCCTGGGTTTGATCCCCAGCACATCACAAAACAACCAATTTTCATTTTTAAACATATTCTTCACATTCTCTCTCTCCCTCTACACACACACACTCACACACACACACACACACACACACACACACACACCCCCCAAAAAAACTGTTAACAAGGATTTTCTCCAAGGCATGAGATTTTAGGTGATATTCACATTTTACATTCTACATTTCCTTATTGTTGGGAGAATAATCATGGTTTTAATTTTTGAAAGAAAATGTTTTGTTTTGTTTTTTGGAGACAAGGTCTCGTTCACTACATAGTTCAGAGTGGCTTCGAACTCATTACGTAGCCCAGGCTGACCTCCAATTTGCAGCAGTCCTTCTGCCTTAGTCTCCCAAGTGCTGGGATTTCATGCATGCACCACCACACCCTGCTAATTTTTGAATTTTTAAATTATGAATAATTCAAAACCCAGAAAAGTACATATCATCTTTCCCTAAAAATAATAATGAACTGGAAAATAATCAGCCTTTAAAGCTAGAGGTCAAAAATGCCACCGGGCTGGGGATTTAGCCCAGTGGCAACTTGCCTGCCTTGCAAGCTCAAGGACCTGAGTTCGATCCCTAGTACCAAAAAAAAAAAGAAAAGAAAAGAAAAGAAAAAATGCCAGCCCAGACACCTTTCTTACCTGCCATTATAGAGAGGCCACCAGGCAAGGGAACAGTGTGGTAACATCTTCTGCATGGCACTGGCCATTGCCATGGTAACCATCTAGGGCTTATTGTCCAGTTAGGTCTTATTTTCAGGGAAATAGAGTATAATAAATAACGTGACACCTGCTGATGTTTTGTCTCATTCGCTCAGTGTGCCTTTTGTTTTCGTGAAGTGTTGACGACCTCTCCCACTGAGCCGTCCCTCCCTCCCAGGAGAAGACACTGGTTTTCTCTGCCTCTATGTCCCATGCACGTGGATGCCCAGAACCAACAGCTAACTTTTCAGGCGTTCGTCAGGCTTTGTGAACCACTTCGTACAGTGACACAGGATCTTTTCCATCTGAAGAGAGCCAGAGCAGAAGCGAGTCGCTGGGTCCCAGCTCTCGGGCACCTTCTGTTCTCCACTAGCACAGCCCTGCTACTCTCCCGAGTGTGACGCTAGCCCTGCACACTGCAGGCTGTATCCTCACACTTTCCTCCATGTTAATGGGCTTCAGAGTCTGTGTTAATATGATGGGATGTATCTCATTTCATTTGCCAGGATTTCCCATGTATTCAATGCATTCAGAAAAATCTATCTGGAAGATAAACTGTAAACAAGGACATATCTAACAGGAAAAAAAAAGAGATCGGTAGTTAGAACTACAAACTCTACTCACCGAATTTCAGATTTATATTCATTGACAGTCTTTTGGGTTGCATCAAGAGACTGATGGGGTTTTTCTGGATGCAGGCCAGTCTGAACAGCATTTCTTAGTGCTTGGAGCTTAAAAAGACGTGGACAGGAGTTTCACATTAGTAACTCTATCCGCTAGGCAAGCAATATTCCTGGGCCCACCCGGTTCCCCTGGGCCGAGTGGGGTGAGCATTCTGTGAATGGAAGCATCCAGCTGCCTCCAAGCTCTCACCAAAGGGAACTTTGGCTGAGAATTGTTTCATCTCTTCTTAAAAATCGGAAATAATCATGAATACTGTTTGTTCATCCTTGTTCTGTGGCTCGGATAATCAAGCAGCTCACAGAAATATTTTTATATGAATATCTGAAAAACAGGTTTACATTCCAGCTGACAGTGGGTCTTTCTGGGCCCTGTCTGTACTACAGTATTCTTGTGATCTGAAAAACTCTAAAATTATAGACTCGTAACAGGAGGCGTTGTGGAGTAACCTCTTATTTGGATAGTAAGGTTTCAAAGTGAGGACATGAGACCATGAGGTGTGATTGAACACGGAGAATGCTTGAATCTTAACACTGTTTTTAGAGTAAAGACATTTTGCCATTAACCCCACACTTCCGACACACTTACCCCCCCTCCCTTTTCCCACTTTCTGAAGCAGTTCTGGAAGTCCTTTTTTGTGTGATCAATTGAGATGTTGTGGCTGCCATCATGTTCTGAATAAATTCAAAACATTTCCCTTTCATGGTCATTTTGACTTTCAGGAAGAGCCAGAAATCACAGGGTGCCAGATCTGGTGAATAAGGTGGACAAGAACTCGTTGTGATGTTTTTATGATCCCGCCTTTCCACTGGGTGGAACTTGGTAACAGCATTCACTATATTTTTGATCACACATTGTAAAGACACTCATGAAAAAGATCTTCCAGATCTGCTTCAGAAAGTGGCAAGAAAGATGGGATAAATGTGTTTGGAGTGAAGGAGAGTATTTTGAGAGGGATTAATGTGGTGTGTCTTTTACTGCAATAATTTTTTATTTAAATATATGTTCACCCGTTGTAAAATGGCCTATAGTTGAAATTACCAGTGGACATCCCATAGGACAGTGTCACATTGGAAATAACTCCAAGTGGCAGCTATTGTTTTGAATATCCATTGAAGGCAGCTGTCGTGTTTAGCTGCCACATGGTGGGAAAAATAATCTAAAAACAAACATGTCTCTAAGGACAGAGAGATTCTCAAGCTACCATTGATCTCAGGATCTGAGACCACTGCAGCAAGCAATGGCCGCTTCCCTTCCCACCCCTACCCACTTCTTGTGTGTGGGATATCTTGCGCTCCTCACAAAAACTTCCTCTTGAAGTCAATTGTGTGCCATTGAATTTGCACTTGTAAAACTGCTCCCCATCTAAACCCTTCCTCTTGCCTCTAGGCAGGATGATACATCACATATCCCAGAGAGTGGGAACATGTGAGAGACAGGACCATTTTCCTGCTAAAACCTACTTTCATGCTTGGGCCCATTGGGAGAACTAGTCCTGCGAAAGCGTGGCGATTACACATACCTTATCAGTAAGAAACTTCGCCTTGTTTCTCCGGTGTCTTGCAAGGTACTGGTCATACAACTGGGCCAGCTTGGCAGCCAAAACGTGCTCTCGGCTAAAACAGGGGTGATGAGTGAAGATTAAACCCGAAATATCAATGTCCAGTTGGAAATTTCCAGGAGGGTCTCCAGATCCAATCATATGCTGAGTCCTGTGCACGTACTTCACTGCCTGCCAAAGGGAGCGCAGAGTGGGTGGAACACAGGGAAAGTACTTATTAGATAATGGTGTTCTAACGCTCACAGGGAGAGCAGCTGGATACAAAATACCTCCTGCCTGTCAAGTCAGGCGGAAGGTGCCCCTTTACCTGGTTAGGGGCCTGCCCTTTTTTTGCATACTTGGAAAGGAAACTGAAGGAGTAGGACTGAGAAAGGAAACCATTCCAAATCTTGCTTTCCTGTCTTTTCATCTTCACTATTCTCCCAAGTCACAGTTCTGACCATTTTCATACACTATCTTGTTTCTGGAAATCTTGGGTTATGTAGTTGGTGACTCTGAAATTTTTTCAATGTGAGAATTATAGATTTAGGCACAAATGATCATTATTTGGGTCATGCATATGTATGTGAATTTTAAAAACATGTGGGGATGTTTTTGTATTGTAGACAGCAGCAAGAGACCTTTCCTCTGTGGACCTGCATGCTGGCACCCAGTCTTCCCAGGGGGGTGGGGTGGGGTGGAGGGGATGGAGCTATTGGTAAAAATAACAGAGCAAGCAGGGGGCTAAGTGGCTGAGTCCAGTGTGTAGAAAATGGGAATGGAAATTTCCAGTGGGAATTTATTGGATTGTTTGGTGCATAATGAATCAGATGTATCCTCCATTTCCCTTCCCTAAAGTCTTTAAGATATTCTTCATCAATCATCACTTCTCACTGAGTTTGTGAAGCTTAAAGATGAAGGGTTGCCTGCATTGTACCACTATTTACAAGAGAGAATATTTGAGTTTATTTCATTTTAGACACTGAATTTCATATTTTCCCAGATTAGCCAACTATTAATGTATATCTATGATTTATCATTTCTTACAGGACGCTAATACATTGCCTCCTACATTTATATTAATGGGATATCATCCTCTTTTTTTGGTAAAAATAACACTGTCTTTGAGGAGAATTCCTACAGTATTTCTATTTTAGAAGTTGTCCCTGTAAAACTAGTATGTTCATAAATATTGTAGACTTGAGTAGGAACTGGATTAACTGTACCTCAGTACCTTCCAAAATATGCTCTGCTTCCCCAGTTGGAGTCTCAAATATGCATCAGCCTATGTTCCATCAATTGGAGGTGGTCTATGCCTTAAACTCAGTTAGTGAAATAGGAAAAGCTTCCAGGACTCCTGAAAGTCCTTGACTGCACTGCCCCAAAGACTCTAACTTTCTTCCTTTCAGAGAGAAAGATCCCGAGTTCCTCATCTTCTTGTTGTGTCTGTCTTCCCTTTTTATGTATTGAGAACCAACAGGAAGACAGAAGTCACAGTTTCTCCCGAGCACCTCCAGGCGGATGTGTGGGCGGAAAGCCCGCCCCTTGCGCATCCTCTGCTGGTCACTTGGATCTTACGGAAGCCCAGTGTGGCCTTTCAGAGGTGAGTTCTAAACATACTCTTGACACTGGAATAATGGACACCCAATTCTTCTCCGTTCAGGTAAAAGAATAATTTGAATACAATTATAACCTGCAGCAGTGTTAGAAGGTTTTAGTCTCCACGCGCTACTATGTATCTTACGATCACCCAGATAACCTGGATTAATTAAAAATTTCCACCTTACAAAGACACACAAGCAAACATCATTTCACAGACGTAATGGAAAATTCATCTCTAATTGCTCGGTGCCTGCTACTTCTTTCCTTTAATTTCCTTTTTATGGAGTTCCCGAGTTATGAAGTCACTCGGGGTACGGCTGGCTGGTCCCACCTTGCACACTTCTTGGGGTGAGTCTGCAACGTTGCTACAATGATTCTCTTTACTTGCCAAGTGGCCTGGGTCACCTGGCTTTTGCACCTGTGTTCACCAGTCCACATGAGCCCACGTTCCAGTAATCGCTCGTGGTCTCTGCCTCAGTGAAATGTAAAAGGCTCCCAGGATCCCTCATAACCACTGAAATAAACTCCACAAAATAACCTGCCTCTGTTTCTGCTAGGGAAAAAGAGCTTAGTTGCTTTTTTGTTGTATCTGTTTTCATTTCTTTTATATTGACTACTGTTAGGAAAAGAGTAGCAACAATTTCTTCCAAGAAAAGATAGTAAGTATAGGGTATATTTTAGTGTGAAACTTTCTTCTGTCTTCACTTGAAAGCTGAAAGCCAAAGCTATAAGATGTAATGTATATGGGTTATATTCTCAGCATGTGCATAGACGTATATCAATGAATAAAAATTTAAAAGTTGTACAGAAAAATAATAATTGGTGGGGTTCAAGTATCAGTTTCTAAATTTGTCCTGTGGGAGAATTTTTTTTTTGTTCGAGAGTCTAGTTATGTAGCTCAGGCTGGACTTGAGCTCAATATGTAGCCTTGAACTCATGGCAATCCTCCTGCCTTAGCCTCCCAAGTGCTGTGATTATAGGTGTGCGCCATCACTTCCAGCCTGTAGTGGATTCTAAAGTTAGTATTCTGGGTTTTCCTGAGGAAACTTCTCAGTTTCTCTTTTTTTTTTTGGTACTAGGGATCGAACCCAGGACCTTGCACTTGCAAGGCAGGTGACAGAACCACTGAGCTAAATCCCCGGCCCTCAGTTTCTCTCTTTTACAACATGCTGTGCCAGGGCACCGGGCATGGTGATACATGCCTGTAATCCTAGTGCTCAGGAGGCTGAGGCAGGAGGATCTCAGCAAGTTCAAGGCCAGCCTGGGCTACATAGTGAGTTTAAGGCCTGCCTGAACTACACCATGAGAACCTTCCTCAAAAAACCCACTCCCATCTAAAAAAAGGACATGGCACATGATCATGAGATACAGGATCCACTTACAACTGACTAGTTTGTGCTTGGTGTTATAATGTGGAAGGTGGGGAAAATGCGATCCCTTTTCTCTGGAGTTGTTCAGAGGCTACCAAGGATCATGGCCCCCAGCAATTGGAGAGAATGAGGCCCATCTACACTCGAGAAGAACTAGAAAGAAGAGAGAGAGAAACTGGTGGATGTCACATGCTACCATCCAAAAAATGGTTTAACTGTGAGTTAATGCAGCTGTTAATCTGCTAGATTCAACCATTCCACAGTGTATACACACTTCAAAACATCATGTTGTACACGATGAAAACACAGTGTTATCTGTCAAAGAAAAAGAAACATAGTGAAAGGAATACTATCTTTTTCACCACATACCCCATCCCACTTGTGGCTCCCAAGGGACAAGGAAGAATCGGGCTGCTTGGAGTCAGCTGGAGGCCCTGGTCCTGGTTGGGGTCCCGTGCAGAGCCAGGTGGCCACCTCTCACTGTCTAAGCTGTCCGTATGTGGTCTCTGGCCTTCCATGTCGTGAACTCAGCAGGGCAGTCCTAGGGGCTCGGGCTCTGTCCAGATCGGGAAGATAATTCACGGGTGACGCAGTGGGAAACCACTGCCTTCAGGTCCACGTGGCAGTCTGCACCGTATAGTACCCTTAGTGCAACTGAAAGTCTGATTTTTCTGGCTCCAGGGCATTTTCAACTTAGGGTAGACCCTACTCCTAAAGGAGACAGATGAGCTCAATCGGCTCCCCCTGCTCTACCCTCTGTATTCATTATTCTCCTGTTTTCTCATTTCAGCCCACACTGCAGTGCTTCATTCTATCAGGGGTTCACATTGAGATGGACAGATGAGTGGACAGATGAAGGGATGGACCGAGGGATCATTTGGTATATGCATAAGTTCACACTGTCTGATCACTAATTATATCATGCATCATTTGAATAGAACCAAATAGATGATAAATCATAAGGCTAAGCTTTATGTTTATTTCTTAATAACTTCCAGCATCACATTTTTCGCACAGTAGTAATGGTCTGCAGTAATATTTTATAGGAATTTACAGTTTAATAAGGGAGTGTACTCATATATCACCTTCATACTTGCAATGACCCAATGAGGTAGAGAAGATTATGATTTTTTCCTACTTTTCAATTAATGAAATAGGACCAGAAAGGCAAAGAGACCCACCTAAAGCCACAGAGTCGTAGCAGGACAGTGGGATTCTGCTAGGACTCTGACTACAGGCTATGTCTTATGTGCTCATGACCTTGCTTTTATGGGATGGCCAGCTACCAACTGAGCTAAAACTCTCCTTTAACTCGTGAGTGTTAGGGGTTGTGTCCCAGCCCAGCAACAAGAAAGCGACTCAGACACACCTCCAGAATGCTGAGCTAAATAAGCCTCCTTTCTAAATGAAGTACCAAGCTTCCAGTGTTTTGCTATAGCAACACAAAACAAACAAATGCACCTGTATTATCGCATTCAATCTGCATAGTAGTCACTAGCACTATGTCTATATTACAGATAAGATCCCAAGGCACAGAAAGATTGAGGACCAGTTTCACCCCACGAGTGGCAGAGTGGGACACAAATCAGGCCCGCTGCTGGCCTGCAGATCTATTGTGTGCATGAGAGAGCTGAGGTGGGCAGTGTCGGGCTCTTACACAGTTGGCCTGCTATTTGCTCTTTATGTGTAGAACAGTGAATCCTCCAAAGAGAAAAATCAAGCAGAATTCTACAACTGCAGCATCTGAGCTATTAGACACGCAAGGCATTTTCAGTCTTGTGGACTAGGGTGGATGGGGTGCATACCTTTCTATACAGCGTCTCAAGTCCTGCCTTGGCACTGGGCTCCTGGGCCAGCCGCGGGGGCCGGGAGGGAAAGGGCCTGATGGGGCTTGGCAGAGCCAGGATTCTGCCATCATCACCAAACCATTTCCTGCCCTGCAGAGCAAGCAGAAGGAAAGACTGTGTTTTCTTCTCTTTGGACATAAAATGGTTCTTACAGCAAACAAGACTGGTGGGAAAGTTCTATGTCGAAGTACACATTTCACAGACCTCCTCCTGTCCGAGAGAACTTTAAACGTCTCTGTTGCCACTGGAAATCGGTCTGCACCAACACTCACACCGTGAAATGTGGACAGCATTCCTGACCACCCATCAAAAAACTTAAGAAAAAGCTTAAATGAATACTTAAGGAAACGTTCATGTTCTATTCATTAAAGATTTAAGGTGATATAACCATGGGAGAAAAACTTGAACCTGATCACATTCTATCTATAGTGAATTAAAAAAATTTAGCCTGGCCTCGTGGCACATGCCAAAAATCCCAGCCCTCAGGAGGCTGAGGCAGGAGGATCGCCACAAGTTTGGGGCCAGCCTGGGTTACACAGTGAGACCCTGTCTTCAAAAATAAAAACAAAACGAAACAACAAAAATTCCGTGAAAGGGGCAAGATTGCCAACATCTGGTTTAGCTGAAGCTCAGAAGCAGTGAGCAGAGGATGGGGTTTGGGGAGCTGAGAGGCTGTGCTGTTTGAGGATCACTAAAGGTACCGAGAGACAAAATACAAACAAACACAAAACCACTTCCTGTGGAGCCGAGGAGCGGAGGACTGGCGGATGCCAGGCACGGGGGAACCGCGGGGCACTCACGGACTCCTGCCGCAGCAGCCGGCTCTCCGCCACGTTCTGGTTGGCGCGCGTCACCTCCGGCCGCGCTCCCGTGTACAAGCCTTCGTCCTCGGGGAAGCGGGGCTGCACGTTCTCTGGAAGCTTCTCACAGATCGGCACTGCACGGTTCACAGACACAACCCTGAACTCCTGCGCCAGCCTCGGCCTTTCAGACCACCCTCTGCCCACTTCCAACAACCAGCAGGGATCGCCTCTGTGTCCTGGAAACTGCAGGTTTCCCCGTGACTTTCTAGAAGCAGGGAAGGAGGTGAATGTGTTCGTTTGCGTTATCGCGTTGCAGAGTGGTGCACTGAAGAGAGGACACCGAAATAATTCAGGACCTAACTCGCCAGTGTGGCATACCGCGAACAGAAGGAGCGTAGAGCCCGCGCCTGTAAGTAACCCCAGCACTCAGGAGGCTGAGGCAGGAAGATTGCTGCGAGTTCGAGGCCAGCCTGGCTACATAGGGAGACCCTGTCTCAAAAAACGAAACGAAACCAAATCAAGAAAAAAAAAAAGAAAAAGAATAGGAGTGTAATATTTGAATCAAAAGGCCTGGGCGCACTCGTTAGCTCGGGTGCTGTCTCTGAGCCAGTGTGGACCATGCACACTTTGGAGCTCTTTCCGGGTACCACAGGCAGCGGCTTCCAGTTACTGGGTTCCTGGGAGCAGCACACGAGGGAAGGGTGTGGAATTGTTCCCTAAATTAACACCTCTGAGAGCTGGGGTGCAGCTCTGCGGCAGAGTGCTTGCCTAGTGTGCTAGAGACCCTGGACTCCATCCCCAGCACTGCAAAAACATTTTTTTTTCATTGAGTAAATCTGACCATTACCTCATTTATTTTTTCAATCTGTTTTTTATTCACAGGACAGATCTTCACAGACACTCTGCCAGTGCCAAGTGCTCAAAAACTCTGGGCTCTGGGCCAGGCCACTGCTATCTGGTCCCACTTGGATCCCCAAGGGAGTGACACACAGCAACAAGAAATGGCTTTGTTTTTGGTTTTTGAGACAGAGTCTCAGTATGTAGCCCAGGCTGGCCTCAAACTGGGAGAGATACTCCTGCCTCAGCCTCCCGAGGGGTAGGATTACAGGTATGCGCTACCATGCTCAGCCAGCAACAAGAAATGAAGGTCTCTACAGGATCCTGTCAGAGGGTGACACGCATGATGAAGAAAATCCTCAGGTGGTAATCACTTGGGTAGGGGGAGCTGCAGGTTAAAGAGAGGCTTTTCTCAGAAGGGAGGGGCCATCGATGGGCCGGAAACTAAGTTCCCTGGGAAGAGCAGGCACTGTCCTGCCTTTAGGTGAGCAGGGAACTGCTGCTGTGAGGTGTCCCACGTGGCTAGGGTGCAGCTGATGCTTTCTGTCACCTAGCAACGCCGCCCACCCTGTGTTAATCCACCTACAGCACCAAGTCCACCCGGCCCACACCAGGCCACCTGGTGTGCACTGACTGTACGGTCTGGGTTTGCACATCCACACTCAGGCCCTGTGATGTTGGAATTGCCCAAGGGCACAGTTCTCAAAACTGTCTCTAAGCAGGGCAGGACCGTGAGAAGGCTGGTGTGCTGCAGGCACAGATTTCCCAGGGGAGGGCAGGGGGGATCGTGACTCTCACAGGGCCCCGGCTGCTGCGGCAGAGGGGAGACGGGGAGAGGACGCCCTGTCCAGGTCGGGCTGTGGGTCTTGAGGACCTCACTCGGAAGCACGGACGTGACAGCACAGGCTGGAGAGCGCTGTGTGGCCTCGTGGCCAAGCCAGATCACCTGCCGTTCCTAGAACTCTGGCCCTCACAGGTCACACGAGCTACAGCTTCACCCTTGATCACACAGCGAACATCAGCTCGTCACCACTCTGATGGGCTCCAGAATTTCTCATGAAAATATACTCAATTTGTGTAGGTGTATTTACTACACTACTGTGCCTACAAAATTAAACTAAGACAGAATAAGGCTACAGGTTAAGAACAAGCCGATGTGTCAACATGGTCTTCCCTCCCAACATGAGTGACAGCAAGACAAGGCTGTTCATGCACATTATGTTCCCCGCGCTCACAATTGACATAAATACCCAAAGCCGTTTCTTTGGCAGTTTCCGTATCCTCCTGTCTCCAGCAGCGGAGCTGCTGTTGGCTGGGGCATGCTGTCACCCCTCACTCACCCCTCCCTGAGCCTGGAGCAGGGTAGAAGCCGGATTCCTCAGATTCCCCGCTCAGACCAACCAGGGCTCCATATACCTCTTCCAGGGCCCTTGTCCAGCCCGAATTTCCGGCTGCTGGCGTCAGCCCCCAAGGGAGCTTGCTTATGTCTGCCTAACCTCTGCCCTGACTCTGTGGGGTCGGGAGAGAGGCCCCGACAGTGAGCCTCTGAATCAAACACAGGTGAGAGTCTGCTTCCAGGCTGAGGTCGCTCCAAAGGTCTTTCTCTGTACCCCTCAGAAACACCAGCAGACAGAGCAGCTAAGAGTGGGACCTTGGGGGAGGGCACCTCGAGCATAATTGCGCTTCTGTCATCCCCAGCTTCAGAGTCTCGAGCTGGCTCTCTAGCCCTTCGGGCTTCTGCTCCTGCGTCTATCAAACTGGCAGGGATGACATCAGTTGGGCGTGCAGGGTAAGGTTTGCTGGGCATGGGGGTAACAGCAGCTGACATGCACCACAGCCCTAGGAAAGTACATGGAGAGCAAGTGCACAGGGTGCATCGCTATTGATGTTACTGGGCCCAAGCCATTTCCTGTGAGTTTTTTTTTTTGCCAGCTCTCTATTTTAGAAGGAAATTTGAGATGTCCATCAAATTTCGATACTTTGAAGACACATGACTCAAAATGACTTCTCTGAATGAAACAATATCTTTGTCTTTGACTCGGCATTTCATTGGAACTCAGAGAGAACAGGGCAAATTAATAGGAAATTGATTTTCCTAAATCCCATCAAGATGTTCCTGTCCCCTTCTTTTTCCTACCAAATGGCATCAGAAAGAAGGTAAGGTGAACCCCAGGCCACTAACAACCAGAGTGGGCCCCATTACAGGACTCGGGCACTCTGTTCCTTTAGCTGTTGATTAGTAGAACCGAGTGAGCCTAAGTTGCCTTAGCATTCATGGAAGAGAGCAAAGGGAAATCCAGGCCAGAGAGAAAGCCTGGCAGAAGCTGTGGGCTCCTCAGGTGGGCCCAGCTCCAGAGCCCTGGCCATTGCCCCAAGGGTGGAGGGTGAGAAAGCTCACAGAGCCCGAATCTCAGGCTCTCACTACTCTTGGACCCCAGAGCTCACCCCAGATTTGATGCAGGGGCTCCCCTAGCACCGTGGGGCTTCTTCTGCTATTCTACAAATAAGTATCAGTTGAATGAGTTTTTCCATGTTCTTTAGTTTTTGATCTGAAGATATTTCTGGATTGTTCGATCAGATTAGTAAGTACAACCAGTTCTAGGAATGAGCCATCCTTATGTGATGTATGGTATAAAATACAGTGGTTATTTAAATCAGAAATTTTTTATTACTATAAAAGACACATTGCCATTATCCTCCTCAAAACACTGACCTTCGCTTCAGAAACACTTGTTCCATCATTCTTGCCACTTTCTGAAGCCGTTCTGGTGTTCCTCTTCAGTGAGTGTCTTTAGTCGCACTTTTGTAGCTGCCTCAACATCTTCAATCGATTCAAAATGTTTATCTTTCATGGTTGATTTGACCTTGGGGAACAACCAGAAGCCTCATGGTGCCAGATCTGGTGCACAAGGTCGATGAGGACACACTGTGATGTTTTTAGAAGCCTGCCTTTCCATTGGCTGTCATTTGATAGCAGCATTCACCATGTTTTTTAATTATACCTTATAATGATAACTCATGAAAAAAGACTTCCAGAACTGCTTCAGAAAGTGCTAAGAATAATGGGATAAGTGTGCTGGAAATGAGAGGAACTATTTTGAGGGGAGTTATTGGCAGTGTGTCTTTTACTGTAGTAAATACTAAAAAATACAAACATTCACTTGTACTTTTTTGTAAGTATTAAAAAAATTAAACATTCACTGTGCAGGCACATTTTATCTGAAGGAAAATGAAGATATCCACGCTGAGCAGAGAAATAAAAAGAATAAGCACCTGCTTGTCTACTGGGGATAAAGAGGATTTCCTTTTCCTTTTCCAGCCAGGTGTGGATGCTTTCATACTCTGCAGGTCGGACTGCCACAGAATCATCAGCTGCGGGGTCCAAACCCAACAGGAGGTCCTCAGCATCCTTACCGCTGAGCAGCTCTTCTTCATCCTGCATGATGTTAAAAATACCAAGCAAAAGTCGTGCCAAGATTCTTAGGTTATTAGGAAAATAATTCTTCCTCATCAAACTTAACATGTCCTATAGCAAAACTGAATTGTCTTTTTCTTTTTAAAATGAAAACATAGAACTGTATAGCATTTCGTAGACAACAAGTGGGTTCTGCTGCTGGTTTTCCACTATTCTATACAACGAAGAGACGTCAAAAGCAGAGAGAGCTGAATCAGAGAAGTGGTAAGCAAAGGTAGTAAAATCCCAACAAGCCCTAACCCATGTAAAGAATGTAGGCTTCTGGGTTACATAGCCCTGAACTTCTCACCTGGTGTTGACACAAGAGCCAAGGCAGCAAAACAGCTGCTCAGACGGCCTGGATGCGAATGCCAGCTTTGCCTCAGGGGACTCAAGGGGACTTACTTAACCTCTGATTCTCAGTTTTCTTCACTGGAACATGGGGATATGGGGATACTAGTAGAGCTTACATCTTTGTGAGGGTCAAACTAAATTACACATGCAAAAATCTAAGCACCGGGTGTGAAATATATGAAGTATAGGAATTTTGTTTCAGTGTTTTCCAAATTTTTCTCCATCTCCTCCTCCTTCTTTTCCTTTTGTTTCTTCCTCTTTAAAAATTTAAGCTGGGTGTACACATTTGAGCAGTTTCTGAAGACCATGGGGGCAGCCTAGCTACATGCCTCCTAATATTTCGTCCCAAAATGTGCAAAGCAATAAGAAGGGAGAAGTCAGTCTCCATGGAAACCATGCATCCAGCATGACTTCAAGGCTGAGAATGCCAAAAACATCAGAAAATGAAAAGAGAAAAGTCACTAATAACAGTGCCTGGCCCCTGCCTCACCTCTGCTTTGTGGGGAATAAAAGTGAACTGAGAAATGTGCAGAGGAGACAGAAAAAGGAAGCCAGGGAAGGGGCCTCCAGATTCTCTGACACTGCCTAGAAAGTCTAACTCCACTCTGAGCATGATAATGCTTAAAAAGTGTCAGGGCAGTCCAGAGCAGGGCTTCACACTGCTCTCCAGGAAGTAAAAAGGCAAAGCAAGGAAGAAGTTGCTTTTGGAGGCAAGAGCCAGGGTTTCAGAAGATGCCCGGAAATGGACACTTCTGCCTCTGCAAGGTGGACCCTAATTCTCCCTTTCAATGTGCACTGACCTGTGCAACTCATAAGGAGCAGAATATGGTGGAGAGCAGGTCCTAAAAGGTACTGTGGCTTTTCCTTGATTTCTCTCTGAGAACACTTGCTTTGGGGAAAGCCAGCTGTCCTGTCCTGAGATCACTCAAGCCACATCATGGGAGGTCCCTGCAGCCAGGGCAGATGCACCACCTTGGAAAGAAACCCTCCAGCCCCAGCCAAGCTTCTACATGCCCATGGTCTTGACTGTCTTGTCTACAATCTCATGAGAGATTCTGAGCCAGAACAAGCTGAATATTGATTTGTAAAGCAGTGACTACAGAATGAGCTGAAATATTCCCACACTTCCATAGACCTTGGAAAGAAAATACATTCCTGGGAGACATTTTTCAAGGGAGGAGACTAGAAGTTAAGCCTAGAAATATGGCAACAGTGCAAACACTGAAATGTTCTGGTGTGTTTTCTGTTTTTATTTTTAATGTTGTAAATTACGTGTAATGTAACACATGACATTTGGTTTATCATTTAACCATTTCTAAGTGTCCACAGTTCATTAACATTAAATACATTCAAATTCATCTTCCCAGACCAAAATTCTATGCCCATTAAACACTGACTTCCAATTCCTTCCTCCCCGAGACCCTGGCAGCCAACACTTACTTCCTGTCTGTGTGATTTTGGTTGCTCTAGGTACCTCATATAAATGAAATCACGCAATATTTGTCCTTTTGTGAATTTAACTTAGTATAACATCTTCAAGGTATCCTCATGCAGGCTGAATAATAATGATTTACAGACGACATTTTATTTATCTGTTAATAAACGAGGTTGCTTCCACCTTTGGGCTGTTGTGAATAATGCTGCTATGAACCTTGGTCCACAAATACCCATTCAAGACCATGTTTTCAGGGTTTTTTTTGGGGGGGGGCTGGGTTTATCTTCAGAGTAGAATTGTGGGGTGTATAGCAATTCTGTTTAAATTTTGAAGAAATGCCTTATTTGTTTATAGCAGCAGCTGCACAATTTACATGCCTACCAGCCATATAAAAAAAATCCACTTTCTCCACATTCTCTCCAACCCTCATTTCCTGTTTTGTAATAGCTATTCTAATGGTGTGAAGTAGCATCCCATTATGGTTTTAATTTGAATTTTCCTACTGAAAATGGTAAGCATCTTTTCATGTGCTTATTGGTCATTTGGAATCTTCTGTGGAGAAATGTCCACTCCAGAACATTCCCCAGGGTTACAGACATGGCTCAGGGGGAGCACATTTGCCTAGCATGCACGAGGCCCTGGGTCCCAACCCAGCACCGCAAAGAACCAAACCAACCCAACAAAAAAAAACTATGCCCAATGATATCCTATTACTATGTGCAATTTTTCTGTATCAGTTAAAAACTAAATTTTAAAACAAGAAGGGAAAAGATCTATGCCCATTTCTTAAGGGTGTGTATTCTTTTTAACCTCACCTACCACACACAATTACGGAATCCGAGCTGCAGCTTGGGTGTGATATTGGGCACAGAAAGCTATTCGCTTTTAAGATGGCGGAGAGAGAACGAGAGGGAGGTTTTATGTGCCTCAGAGAGAAAAACACCGTGCGTGTGAAAGGAATGCTAATCATTTTGGGGAGAAGAGCAGGAAAAAAAGTCTGCAAATTGTGTCATTTCGCTTTTTTCCCTATAAGAGAAAGACAGGCACATTTAATCAAAGCCCCTGCTATAACTTGTGGGGAGTAATCAGGAGGTACAGAAAGCCCGGGGAGGCTGGTTCTGCTCCCTGAGCAGCCCCACCGCTGTCACCTAAGACTCGGGTGAGATGTGCGCTGCCAGGGCTGCAGGTTTTCTTTAGCCACTGTCTTTCATGTGAGGCTGTAACCTGCACCTTGTCCCGCGGTCCCCCTGCTCCCGGCCACCATGATACTAAGTACCGTTTTGTTCACGCCTCCTGCGGGGGATTCTTCTTCCTCCCCTTCCTCCTCCTCCTCCTTCTGATTGGTTCCATCTCTGGCTCTTACTTTTGCTTTTACCTCGGGTTCCTCTGGTTCAGGATCGAAGTTGAAGGTGAAGAAGTTGTAGGCCTCTTCTGCAGAAGGGTAGCCAGGTGGAGCCTAAGCAGAACAAGGAGCAAGAGCAGCTTCAGGCTTTTAAATCACAGGCGCTCTGCACAAGCCCAGCCTGGGGGCGCATGCCTGTAATTCCAGCACGGTGGGGGGCGGAGGCAGGAGGATGGGAAATTTAAGCCCAGCCCGGGCAATTTAGTGAGAGGATGCCTCAGAATAAAAAAGGGCTGGGGATGTAGTTTAGTGCAAAGGCCCTGGGTTTAATCCCAAGTACCACGTAGAAACACTCAACAGCAACAACAACAAAAAACTGCACACAACTGCTATCTTTGTTGAAGGTTAACTTGACTATGTATTGGTGATGAATTTTAACAAACCTGGCAGGCATTTGGAGAACTATTTAAATAAGTAACTATAGTTACTTTTGTAAAAACTGACAATTATTTACATTCTGGTAAGCATGTAAATACAATACTTACATGAGTAAATACAGTAGAAAATGTTATTAATATGCCAAAAAAAGCAGATTCATTGTTCTATAGTATTCAGATAGTTTTAATTATGAAAAATGTAAGATTCATTAATCTTTTTAAAAAAATGATCCTTTTTTCTTTGTATCTTTGGACTAAAATCTTTAGACTCTTCTTCAGTTAGTGCATTCTTTTTCTCCCCATGATGAAAGCTGGTGTAGTTTCAGAGTGGAACAAACTGCCTCACTCCTACATCTCCAGCCCCCCGTGCACCCACTTCTTCAATCAAGACACTGTTGTGGCCTCTCCAGCTAGATTCTAGGACAACTGAAAATAGGGATCATTTCTCATTCTTTTTCCTTTTATGCTAGATGACAATAGGAGTCAGGTACACAGATGGTCATCTCTTAATGGATATTTTTGAAAAACACAAACAAAAAATCATGGAGTACTACTCAGCCATGAAGAACGAAAAACTAGAGGCATTTATAGCTAAATGGATGCATATTGAGGCCATACTCTTAAGTGAAATAAATAGGACACACATATGTAAATACTGAATAGTTTCTCTAGTGTGAGAAACTGATAGTGTAAACAAGGGTTAAAATGATTAAAATGAATAATTGATAACTTGAAATAGGAAAAAAGGTCCAAAGATGAAGGGGTGAAGGGAAGGGAAGGGGAAAGGAAAGGAGGGAAAGGAAAAACTATGAGAAAAGAAAAAAAATGGAAATGATGTCTATGTAAATACGGAAGGGTGGAGGGGGTGAAGGGCACATAGGTAAAGGGGAAAAAAATAAGAACCATGATATATCATGTACAGGTACAAGTACCCAATGATAAACATAAATGTATACCTAAAATGTACCAATAAAAGAACTTAGAGAAACAAACAAACAAAAAACCATGGTGGTGCATGCCTCTAATCCAGCATTTGGAGGCTAAGGCAAGGCTACATAGTGAGTTCAAGGCCAGCCTGAATTAATAATGAGACTCAGTCTCAAAGAGGAAAAAAAAGACAGGATTCTCACCTGAGGTTTAGACTTGATTTTTCGTACAGCATCATGGAATTTTACTCTTGAATAACTTTGGGAATCTTCTTCTTGGTGAGTCGCTTGTATCTCTTTGCCTGGCTATATGAGTGGGAAAATGATAGATAAACCATGTGAATCAAGAAATAAGGGTGTTCTAAGTCTAAGGTTAACACTCTGAAGACTGTGGATGCACCTTGTCATTCCACAGGAATGAAACGGTTACAGACGTCAAATATAGCCGAAGGTTAAGGTTATGAATATTTTCTTACTCAACACTGTCTCTCTCAAGATTAAACAAATACAAATTTTCACACTTCATAAAGTGTTACTTCATCCCATAGATCAATTGATTCTCTATTTCCCAGAAGATCATTTCCAAACGATCTAGAGAATATCAGTGTTTGGGTGTAAATTAAGTACAGCAACCCCCCCACCAGGGGACACATCTTGTTCTTACTGAGCCTCTGGTTCTCTGAGCCTTTGGCCCACACAGCTTGAGCAACCCTCATCTGAAATGCTTGGGACCAGAACTGTTTTGGATTCGGATTTTTTTTTCAGATTTTGGAATATTTACATATATTTTGCATATTTGGAACATTTGCATGTATCTATGGGTAAAAGCACATCTAAAGACAAAACTCAAAATCCACTTAGGTCTCATATACGTCTTATACAGGCAGCCTGAAGGTAATTTTCTACAATATTTTTAGTGTACCCGTGTTTTGACTGTGATCTATCACACAAGTTCAAATGTGAAGTTTCCGCTGGCCATGTCATATCTACAATCAAAGACTTTTGGCTTTTGGTGCCTTTCAGATTTCAGATTGGTGGGTCAGGGATGCCTGGCCTTTACCTGCTTGATGTGAGAGTTCTCTTATGGATGTAGTCCTTTTTCCTAAGTGCCAGTCCACAAACTACTGGTCCCGTCTTTGCATCCATTTCTCCTTCTAATTAAATACTTTAAAAACCCAACTACTATACTGCTTCTTTTCCACCCCCTGCTATAATCCAAATGCCACACCTTCATTTTGAGCACTTCTATGCTGTTTCAGTAATATATATATTCAAAAAACAGTAAAACCTTGAATTGCAAGTAACTTGTTCTGTGAGTGTTCTGCAAGACCAGCAAACATTTCTAATAAAATTTCACCTGATAAATAAGTGATATCTTGCAGTATGAGTAATATGTGACTCCAAACTTCACGGGATCACAAGAGCCAATGGTTTTCCCTCTCTCTCTCTCTCTCTCTCTCTCTCTCTCTCTCTGTCTCTGGGCAATGTCACATTTTTGAGAAATCCTCAAAAGGTGGCAAAAGAAAGTGTCTTGGATAGGTTCCTCTTTAAGAGCTGCATGAAAAAAGGATTCCACTGAGCCAATAGATATCAGTATTCCATGAGGAATAGTGAAAGTCATCATACACAATAACTTTCCTCTCTTTTGTCTCCCTCACACCAGCCACAAAGATTTTCAAAGGTAAGTGCAGGTTAATTTGTTTATTTTTTTAATATTTTGTATTTTCTTTACTATTTTGTATTACTTTGCAGTATTGTAATCATTTTTATATGGATATTTTTGGGTTGTGGAAAGAATCACCTGAGTTCCCATTATTTCTTGTGGGGAAATTCACTTAGGTATACAAGTGCTTGGGAATTAATTAACATGTTTCTGGAAAAAATAATGCTTGTAAACCAATGTTTTACTGTATACCACTAGATATTTGAAATGAGAAAGGAGAAACTTATTGATCATTATTATCTAGATGGAAACTTTTTGAAGTCAGGAATAATTTTCACCCAATGACAATCATGACAGCCATGTAGTGTGCTTTCATTAGAGATCTTCTCCCCATCTGGCTTAAGCCCTTCCTGTTCTTCAAGACTGCACAAAGCTACTTCCTTTCTGAGCCCTTACCCTAAAATGTACTTTCTCTTCCAGAATCTTATTGTCTGAGGCACATCAGGCACAGTTCTGTACAAGCTTAGTAATTGACATCATAGTCTCCGGAGTCCTAGCTCTACCACTTAGAACTCTCAGGCCATTAGTCTGAGCAAAAACTGGGCATAAAATATAAACCATAGTTAGGCTACTGGTGGTAGCTGTTATTATCACATGATTAGTTTTCTTCTTTATGTCTGTCTTTTGTCCTCTTCTATGCATGTAATAGGACTATGATTTATTTTATTTTATTTTTAAAATTAATTTTATTGGTACATTTTAG